TACTTCCACGTCCGGCCTCCCCGCAGGTCTCCCTGGCTGCCCTGGGCAGGGTGTGCGGGGCTGTGGCGGACGGAGGAGTCCAGGCCCCACGGCTCTGATCTGGAGCCCTGGGCCCAACCCTGCTATGACTGCCAGTTTGCCAGCAGCTGTCCAGGAGTTGAGGTCCACCAACCAGAGCCATACTCTGATCAACACCAGCTCCACTAGGCCCAAGCAGACCCAGACCTCCCAGCCCAGCTCCCCAAAGAACTTACCACCAAGTCCCCCTCCTCAGCCCCGCGCATCGTGCGCTTGGCGGTGCCTCGGTCATTTCTGCGGCCGCCCTGTGTCTGCTTATTGGTGATGGGCATTCGGCTGTCCGGACACGGTGCCTTCTTTTAAACGCAGGCCTGTGCCCACGTGCCACCCCTCTGCAGAAACCAGGGGCCAGTGCGGACCCCGCAGGGCATCTCATTTGGTCCAGAAAGGACTTCTAAGTCAGGGAGCAGGAGGACTGGAGTGAGAGTTTAGGGGGTGCACAGGGCTTTGGGGAGCAGAGTGGGCTGAGACTAGCTGGCGGGGGGACAGTGCCCTCTTTGGGTCTGGAGACAGAAGGAGGTTTGGAAGGCTGGGGAGGAGAGCTGGGGAGTCAGTCCGCCTTCTAGAAGGTTCTGTTACTTACCCCTGCGGAGGTCACCCTGTCCTCCTCTGCAAATCCTTTGGCTTATTCATGTGGCAGGTGCCAAGGTTGCGGTTCTGGGCCACCAAGGGTGAGCGGAGTTGGGCCCCGGAGGGGCTGGAGGGCGAGACACAGGTGGAGGAAGCCGGGCATCCAAGCTATGTGTTTACCCCTCGGGCGAGTCCAGGGTGCAAGACCCAGGACATGACCCTGGGGACACGCCCCACAGGTCAGAGCCTGGCCATCCCTCCGTGGAGCGAGGCCTTGGCAGCCTGGCAAAGCCACCACACGGCGGGCTGTCTCCTGTCACTCAGCAAACTAGGGTGGCGGTGACAGGGACGGAGCTGCCCGTGACGCTTGACTCTGCCCCGCCTCCGGCCACCCTTTTCCTGTCATTATTATGAGTATATATATATATATATATATATATATAATTTTTTTTTTGCGATTCTGGGACTTGAACTCAGAGCCCCAACTTGCTAGGCAGGCACTCTACTACTTCAGCCACATCCCAGTCCTGTTTTGCTTTCGTTGTTTTTCAGATAGGGTCTCGTGCTTTCGCTCCTGGCCAACCTCAGGCTGATTCTCCTACCTATGTCATCTGCAAAGCTGGGATCACAGACCTGTGCCACCACGCCTGGCTTTATTGATTGAGATGGTGACGCCCTTCCCCCTCCAGTCTTCACTGGTGATCCTCCAGATCTCTGCCTCCCAAGTAGCTGGGGTTTCAGGCATGGACTGCCACACGCGGCTCCTGCCGCCTCTTCTAAGGGCACTGGTCAGTACTGGAGTCAGACGGTCCAGGACGGCTTCACAAATCTGCGACAATCCTCAGAGTTTCCAGAGGTCAAGTCTAGACACGTGGCTCCTGGGGTCTTCAGTGAGCCCCTCCTCTCCCCCTAGCCCGTCGCTATGTGTGGCAGCCTCTGTCACCACCTCAAAGAAGGCGCAGAGGCAGGGACAGGGCCCCTGCCACACACAGGTGCTCAAGAAAACATTCACTGAATGACCCAGCTGGTTTTATCTCGTGTCCTAACTCCCACCTCTGCCCAGTGATCTCGCCAGTGGACACAGATGTTAGCAGCAAACAGGTAGGGGCTCATGCAAGAAGCCGTACCCTCAAACCATTCCTACCGCTTGCAGATCCGTCTCCAACGCCCCTTTGTGCAGTACGCCCTTGCTGCAAAGGACTCCTTCACTGCTGGCCTGGGCGCGCTGTTTATTACCAAATAAAGTGCTGGCAGCTTGTGATTTCATCGGGGCCAGGTGCATCGCTGGGCAGTAATGAGCCGGTGAGGAGAGGCAGCACTCCCAAGGAGAGAGTGAGGGAGTTGGCAGGCGTGACCTCATTCGTTGCTCAAGGTGCTGAGAACAGACCTTTCCAGAAAGGCTGGATGCTTCTGTCCCCGGCCCGCCCGGACGCGCCACCGCCAGCCTACAGACCGGGCTACAGAATTCTGATTTCCCAGCCTGCTGCCTTGTCCAACGAGCGTCCTGGGCGGCTGCGGGAGGCAGAGGGGCTCACATTTCCCAGTTGAAGGCAGAAGAAAATAGAAGAAAGAAAAAAAGAACAAGCAAGAAACACTGCAAGGAAAGAAACTCTTGAAGTCGGCTGGTGACGGCCATGAGGTGTAAATCAGACATAAGGCTGGGGAGGGAGAAAGCCGGGCTTTTGAATAACCTGTTTATTCCAAATCAAAGAGGAGAGGAGAGAGAAGAGCACTTGCTCTCCGAAAGCACGCACACACACACACACACACACACACACACACACACACACACACACACACGCACACACACACACACACACGGGACAGCAGGGAGGGCAGGCAGGCCAGCACACCGAGGAAAACCTCCGATGGCCGGAGGAAAGACCAGAGAGAAGCGGGGCCTGCAGACACCTAACTTCCACGCTTCCTGCGCAGATCCACCGTCCAGCCACCCAAAGACACAGAGCCTGACCTTCCCAAGGGAGCGTGAGGACCAACAGACACCAGCCAGTTTACAAAGGCTCCGCTTACAAGTACCGGGGGAAGAAGGGGCCAGCTTTGCCAGTGGCCTGGAAACATCTAGAAAAAGAGTGTGCAAGCCAGTCAGGGAGAAAAGCTCCGTTCATTAGAAAGAAGCTAGCAGGTCAGTGTGTGGGCCGGAGTGGTTCTGTTCCTCGTAAATCACAATGCAGGAGGGGCTGGGAGGAGTGAGGGAGCAGAAGACGCTGTAGGAAGGCAGCGCACTCATCCCTGACGAACGTCGAACGTCGTCGTCAGCCCTCTGTGCGTCACCTCTAGAATAACAAGAAAGCCAATTTTTACATCACAATGCACATCCTCACTCGGGGACATCTCCAGTTTTCCATCCAGCAGGTTGGCGTGACCCACCACAGCCCCCGGGGAGAGGTCCTCCCTGACACCCGCTCCCTGGTTCCAGCCCCTGGCGGGGGAGCTGTGAAGGCCAGGGCTGGGCCACGCGTCAGCGCTGGGGAGAAGGTCCTGGGCGCTGGGGAACAGGCCGGGGGCCCTGCCGCCAACCACCCCGCATGGGCCTAAATTCACGGAATGCTCGCTGGAGAGGCGCTGAGAAATAACCGAGGCCTGTTCTTGAGTATTCTTCGGTATGGAATTTCCAGAGGACTTTCTGGAGGCAGCGGGATCCAGCGTGAGCTCCCAGCACCACAGGGCCTGGGGCCCGGCTCCCAGCGCCTCCTTCGCTCGGTCAGTCCGGGACCCCGTTTCCACTCCACACGCCTGTCTCAGAGGTCTTTGCCTTCTGGTCTTGGGACCAGAGCCATTTTTCTGCTCTGAAGCTCCCGGTCGCATACAGCAGCGACCCTCTCCTGTACCCGCTGCCTCTCCCGTTTCTAAATGCTTCCCAGGTCGCTCAGTTTGAGGGTGCTGTGGCCTGCGGGGACCTTGACTCCTACAGGTCACCCTCAATTTACAGATGAGTAAACGGAGGTAGCACAGGTGGAGGCAGCCACCCAAGGTCAGGCAACTCAAGGAAAGAGAAAGCGGGGCGCGGGCGGCTCACGCTGTCATCCTAGCCACGCAGGAGGCTGAGATCTGAGGAGCGAGGCTCATAGCCAGCCCGGGCAGGAGAGTCCACGAGACTCCTATCTCCCATGAGCCACCAAAGAGCCAGACATGGAGTGGTAAAGTGCCAACCTTGAATGAAAAGGCTCAGGGACCGCATCCCAGCCCTGAGTTCAAGCTCCAGCACCAGCCAAAAACTAAAATAAAGGGACGGCTGAAAGCACATTTCTGGGCTCGGCTCTCTCCCTGGCCTCCGCCAACTTTGTTGGGACTGGTGGGTGGGGACCACGCGGAGGTTGGCGTGGTTGAGAAGGGAGGAGGCAGGGGAGACAGGAAGGGCCCCGGGTCAGGATGAACAGGGCTGGGGTGGCCGCCCGCCCGTGGGGAGCTGGCGAGGAATGTGACAAATATTTGCTCAAAGGGGGGGCCCTTCAAGAACACAGACAAACACAGAAGGTCTTCTGCAGTCCAAAGTACCTTCCCTGGAGAGGAGGACGGGAGGCGGGGGTGGGGGGAGGCTCAGCCTTGCCGGAGCCAGCTTCTCCCGAGTCCCGGCCAGGCCTGGGTGGGACTGCCTTGAGAAGCGGAGGGACCTGGTGCTGCTTGGCAGCACCTGTCCTGGGAGCTTGTGAGTGGGGCTGCAGCCCCACCCCCGGCACAGGGGCCTGCCTTTCCCCAGGAAGGAGGCTCTATTCCCCCAGGACCTTAACCCCAGGCCCCGGGGGAAACCAAAGGCACCCGAGGCCTCCCACCTGGGCAGGCACAGATGCCCACCCTGCTGGAGAGGGCCAGGGGCTCCGGATCACCCACCACCACCCGTGCCACCCCCAAACCCTGGGTTCACTGCCGGGCCCTTGTGGGTGAGATCCTGGCCTTGGCAATCTGTCCAGAGTCACACAGGCAGCAGACATGAGTCTGGGCAGCCATTGGTTGACCACCTCCCCCTCCCCCCCCACCCCCACCCCCAGCCCCGTGTCTCAGATAGGAATACGTCTGGAAGCCTGGAAGCGGGGTCTGAACAAGCAATGGCTCCCAGCAGCCCTGGCCTGGCCCCGGCCCCGGCTCCCCCCCTCCCCCCCCAGCCTGGGGGATTGTTACAAGTCATCTAGGCCACTCCCTTGGGCTGCCTCTGGGCTCCAAGTCCCCCAGGTCCTCGGAGGGGCGGGGCCTGGCCTGGGAGGGGCCTGGGCTGGGCGGGCAGGTGCACACTACCTGGTAACCAGGCGGCCCGGGAGGCTCCTGGCGCACACACTTGGAACACAGACACCGGACACCGCGGGGCAGCAGCGGTGGAGACACCTGGGCGCCCAGCCATGGTGGCCAGACGCTTCAGATTCCTGCAGAAGCTCAGCCTCCCGGGCCAGGGCCACCGGTACGAGGCTCTGGAGAGGGACGAGGAGGAGGCCCTGGTGAGTCTGGGGGTCCTGGCCCGGGCTGTAGGGGGGGCAGGCAACCTCTCCTTCACCCCAGACCTGCGTGTGGGGCTGGGCACCCCGCTCTGACCTGGCTTACCCCTCCTCCCCCGGCTCTGACAGCCGCTGGCGGTCACTGGAAGCTGGCAGTGGGCTGCGCCTGGCTCAACAATTAGCCCTCCCACACAGCCCACGCTGCGGAGGAGAAACTGAGGCAGAGAGTTACCTGGGGCCCTGAGGTTCAAGCAGCCAGCAAGGAAACTCATCTAGGTTGCTCTGACTCCAGGGCAATTGAAATCCTGAGTGGCCAGATTTTAAACGCTACTGGAATTGGAGGAGAGAAAGAAAATTAGAGTGTGTTAAAAGGAAAAAACTAAGTTCCCAGTGCTTATCGCCTAGTGAGAGCCAGGAGGCCACAGGTGTGCCCGGCCTGCCGCTTTACAAACCTCTCCAAGCTGCCCCTTGACTTTGACCCCCAGGGGACCTTCTAACATAAGCCAGCAGGACAGAGGACCCCGAGGGTCTTGGGGAACCCGTGGACTCTGCTGTTACTTAGGCCCCTGTCCTTCCTGGGCCTGCTTCAGAGCAGCTGGGGAAGCAGGGAGGGCTGGTGACCCACCGGGGTCTCCTCCGCTCGGGCTGGGGACACCGTAGAGCTCTGAGAGGAGCCCCGAGTCCGTCCATCCACCCATCCTCAGAGACAGCGGGAACACACTGAGCCCGGCTGCCGCTCAGCCCCTGACGTCGGTCAGCCCCGGCTGTGGCCCCTCAGCCAATGGAGGGAAACCTCCCGCCTACGCGCGCTTGTTAATGAGAAACAATCAGCTGAGAACCGCTTCAGGTTTTCATCTTTTCCGCCCAGAGCAGGCCAGTAGTCAACACTGGTGGCAAGATTCTTAGATACGTTCTTCAGTTGCAAGGAGTATTTTATACCTCAGGATGGTGTGAGAGTTCAGATGGGCTCACGGCAGGGGTGTAGAGTGGACACCGTGTTTCCTGTGGTCATGAGCTGCCGTCAGCGCTGCTGGGACCCGGCGGCCGAGCCCTTCCTGTTCCCGTGTGGTCGGAAGCGGTGTGAAGTTGTCTGTGGACACGGGCTGCCTTTGCTTCATCGCTGTTTGCTTTCCCTCCTTTTTCCTTTCCTTCTTTGGATGTTGGCATCGGGCTGGGTATCTTCCAAGGGCCCCTGAAGGGTCGCTGGCCATGATCAGGTCTCCAGATGTTGTCCAGGTGTTCAGGGATCCTCGTGGGGACGCTGGGGAGGATCCGCGCCAGCCGGGGGATTGCCGTCCTCCGCAGCGGCTTGGGAGGCCCCTCCACAGTCAGCCAGGTCCTCCGCCTCGCTGGGGACGGTCCCCAGCTGGCCGCAGAGCCAGGTGTTCTCAGTCACAGACGGGCAAGCCGCTACCTGATAACCTGGCCCAGCCCAGAGGCTGGGGCCCCGCACAGCCTTCCGCTTCAGGTTGGTGATGCAGCAGCCACAGCCGTGGCCAGCTGAAAGACAGACAAGGTGTGCTGTCTACAAAGGCGGCCTGGGCCATGGCAGGTCACACCTGGGGGGGGGGGGAAACAAGTGCTTAGCATGCTGGAGGCCTGCTCCCTGACCCCAGCAAAGCCAAACAAGCAGGAGATGAGGAGGAGACCAGGGGAGGCCCCGCTTCCCACCACGCTGCCTGCCTTCCTGATTAGAACTCTCCAAGTCAGGAAAGAAGGCATATTTGCTAAAGTGACGGCTCCCACCATCGCCCTGGCTCATGAGCACTTGGCGTAGGTCACGCCCTGGCCTGGCCTCTGTGCCCCCAGCTTCGCCCAGCTAGGCCAGGGGTGCTGGGAAGTATTCCTGGGTTGTCTCCCGGTCCTTCAGCCTCCAGGCAAGCATCACTGAGTCAGGAGGTGGACAGGGAGCCCCAGGCGTGCAATACTGTACCCAGCTTTATTAACTGAGATGGGATCTGGAAGACTTCCTGCTTGAGCTGGCCTTGAACCATGGTCTTCTTGGTTGATCTTTGTCTCCTGTGTAACTGAGATTGTAGGCTTGTGCCAGGTGCCGGTGGCTCAGGCCTAGCTACTCAGGAGGCTGAGATCTGAGGATCATAGCTCAAAGCCAGCCTGGGCAGGAAAGTCCATGAGACTCTTATCTCCAATGAACCCCCAGAAAACTGAAAGTGGTGCCTTGAGTCAAGTAGTAGAGCGCTCGCCTTGAGCTGAAGAGCTGAGGGGCAGCGCCCAGGCCCAGAGTTCAAGACCCATAACAACAACAACAACAGATTATAGGCTTGAACCTTTAGACCCAGCCACATGTGGACTACTTCTTAAAGAAATGGATCGTAAGCTGGGCATGGTAGCACAGGCCTGTAATCCCTGTGACTTAGGAAGCAGAAGCAGTAGGTTCACAAGTTCAAGGCTAGCTCCGGCAAAGTTAGTGAAATTGTCTGAAAAACAAAATACAAACAGCAGGGCTGGAGGCCTAGCTCAAGTGGTGGACACTTGCCTGATAGGTACAAGGGCCTGGGTTCAACCCTCAGAGGTGACCAGAAGCATTGATTCCAACCCCCTGTATTGACTAAAATTATTTCTAGCCAAGTGAGATCTCAGTGTAGGCACAAAAGCGATAAGATTTTCACTGCCACAAAATAGCTGTGTGTTTATTACTCGACTATAAAACAAATCTATAATACAATAGCAGGGCATGAGGTGACGCTGTTCTTCTGATGTGATTGTCAGTACTCAGTCCAGATTCGATCTGTTAGTCCAGTCATCTATACAGCCACAGCCGACTCTAGAACCGAGCCGCTTGCCATCGTATCTCTGGCCCCCGTGGGCTGAAATCTGGGGTGGTTCCCAGGGTGGCCTGGGGCTGGGGGTCGGGGCCCCACCCCCGTCCGGCCCTCTGGGGCCATGGAGGGCCCCAGGCACTTCCCAGCCCCCCGTCGGCCGTTTGCAGCCCATTTCCTTGTTGGGGCTCCATGTGTCAGCATTCCTGCCTCACTCGCCCTTTTGAAGCCAGTCTGGGGGCAGTCCACCCTCGCCGGGGGGCTAGCCCAGAGCGAGGATGGAGGATTGAGGCCATGTCAGAGACCACCATCCTCAGAAATAGAAAGACGCATTCTCCTAAATTCAGTGATTCACGGAGAAAAGCTTGCAGCCGCTCTGCACGTAGTCTGCTCCGTAGTTGTCTTTTTGTTGGTGTTTCTCTTAGGTGTTGGTCTTTATTCAGACTCCACCCCCCCCCCAATGGCATTAAGGTTTGAACTCTGAACTTCCTGTGTGCTAGGCAGGTGCTTTACTGCTGAACCATGCCTCCTGCCCTTTTTATTTTCACATTGGTTATTTTTTGAGATAGGATCTTGCTTTCTGCATGGGCCTGAACTGATCCACCTACTTTAGACTTCCTACAGCTGGGATGACAGGTACACACACCACACCCAGCTTCTTCCAGTGAGAGGAAGTCCCTTGAACTAAACCATGGTCTTCCCAATCTCAGGCTCCTGGGTAGCTTAGAATGACAGCTGTGAGCCACCAGGCTCCGGGCTGGGACTCCTTTCGTTCTGCTATTGGCGAGTGCTCAAGCTGAGGATGTGTATGTTCACGTGCGTGGGCAGAATGACACTTACACGGGTCGGGAGTTGGTTTGCTGGGTTAGGATCACAAGCCTCGGCTTCCGGAGATGGGCAGCAAGCAGGCTGCGCACGCCGGCCTTCACGCTGCCCTGGTAACGGCTCACCTGCGAGCTGAGCGCTGGGCACGGTCAGGAGGGGACTCCTACATAACTCTCTGCACAGTGCTCCGTGCACCTGGATGTCAAGCCGGAGGCATGGCGGCACCCGCCTGCCACGTGCTGGGCCGTTGGGTTCTTGAGGCCTGGCTGCACATGGCCCCCGCCTCCTGGGTAGGGTGTGATTGCTGGGGTGTGAGCAGGTGCGCACAGGGGTCACGTCCAGGCGAGCGCTGGATCTCAGCGGCTCTTCCTCCTAAGTCAGGGCTGCACAATGGCCACTTCAGCAGGCTTAGAAACTAGGCTGTCACGGACAAAACAGAAACCACGAGTGACCAAAGATCTTCCAGCTTGAGTTCTCTTCCCGCCCCATCCGGTAATCGGATTTAGCGGGGAGTTTCTCCAGGGGCCCCCAGGGCTGTGCAGTGCCCACATACAAAGCTGGCAGGGGTGGATGAGGGAGGGCAGAGAGGGCGGGGGACGGGGGGGGCGTTGGCATCGTGTGTGAAGCAGCATTGTTAGGCCAGAGCCTAGATTGTAGCCGGAAGGTCAGAGCCTGCTCCCAGGTCCCACAGCGGTGCCAGTGGGCGGACAGGGCAGGCTGGTGGCACATAGGCCCTATTCTTGGGGACTCCCCGCCCCCCCGCTCAACCCCCCGGGGGCTCTTGACACAAGGACTGATTTCAGGTCAGCACCCGTGGGTAGGAGAGACCAAGGGTGGGAAGAAAGGGTGTAGGGTTTGAGATGATGGGGTTAGCGCCTGCGAAGCTGGCTGCATAGTCCGCGGGACCAAATGCTGACGGACAGCAGGGTGTTCTGTTCTGTCTTCCTCTCTCTCTCTCTCTCTCTCTGGCTCCCCGCCAGTCATGGCGGGTTTTGCTCTTTGATGCTATGTCCTGTGGGTAACCACTGGGCATGTCCCACACCCCCACCAAGGAAAGATGGCCGCAGCTGCAGAGGGCAGAGAGAGGTGGGCCCACGTGTGAGCCACGCTGCCCGCCCTCTGACCTGCGCGTGCGCTGGTGTGCCCTCACACTCCATCCACACAGCGCAGCGTCCAAGGTGAAATAAAAGCACCTTGAAGATGACGCCGGTGGAGCGTGGACAGGCACCGGGATCTCTGCGTGCCCGCTGGTCTCACACCCACAGACCAGGAGGTGGCTCCCCACGAGAGGGTCCTTGCTGACGCGGAGAAGTAAAGTTGGATTTGATGCCGAGGGTTGGCAGGGCCACCAGGGCTTCATCCTGGCCTCTGGCTGCCACCTTTCTTGGACTTTGGGCCTCTGGGGCATGGAATGGCTGGCAGTGGAGAGAAAGGCTAGGTGTAGTGCCCACCTGTGGCCCTGAAGACCTCCCGCTGGACAGGGGGTTTCCTCCAGAAGAAGCTGGGCTGGGTGAGAGAGGTGGTCCTGCGGTCGCCTGGCCAGCCCTAGGAGAGAGGAGGGCCTGGAGGCCGGGATTACAGGTGTGAGCCACCATACCTAGCCTTCAACAAACTCTCAGGGCCTTTTGTTTACAAGGCAGGCACTCGACCACTTGAGCCACGCCTCTGGCCCCTTTTTTGGTTGTTCTTGAACCCCCGACGGGTGCTTCCCAGTCACTGAGGATGACAGGCCCGGCCACTGTGCCACCAACCCAGCCAGGGTTGAGATGAAATCTTGCCACCTTTTATGCCTGGGCTGGCCTCAGACCACAAGCCTCAGTCTCCACCTCCCAACTAGCTAGGATTACACGCTTGAGTCACCACACCTGGCTAAGCAATCCTTTCTTAATAAAAAAAAAAAAAATACCCTCCTTGACCCGGCGCGGAGTTCTGTGCCTGTACTCTTCTTTGTTTTGATTACTCTACAAATGAAAACCTAATAGAGCCCAAAGACCATGCTGATCCTCATCACATTACCCAGCATGCCTTTCATGAGGAGCAGGGAAGGCCTCACAAGACTCCTGGGAGTCCAAAAGGGAGCCCAACCTGCCCCAGTTCACACAGCCCATGGGCATGGCCTGCCCGGCCTGGAGCCCTGCACCGGAGCGCTGGCTGCAGTAGCCGCAGGCCAGGCTTTCCTCACCCCAGCATGGCTATATTTGTCTGTCTGTCTGTCTGTCTGTCTGTACTGGGGTTTGAACTCAGGACCTCACACTTGCTAGATAAACACGCTACCACTTGAGCTATACCTAAGACTTTTTTTGCTTTATCTTGGGAATAAGGACTTGTATTTTTACCTGGGCCAGCCTGGACCTCGATGCTCCTTTTCATGCTTACCAGGTAGCCAAGATGGCAGGCCTCCAGCGTGAGGCCCAGCTCTTGGTTGGCATCTTGCTGTTTGCCTGGCTGACCTTGAAGGACAACTCTCCTCATGGAGCTGAGGTTGCAGAAGCACCATGCCCAGCTCCTGGCTGCTTTTTACGAAGGAATTGTATTTGGAAATCAAGAGTCCGTTGCTGGGTGTTCTCTTTGCTCTGGGTGGACACGGCCATCTCAAGAGGAAGGGAAGATGTGTGTGTTCAAGTCTATATTTAGTTTTATATCCATAAAATATAGAAAGTCATTGATTCCAATCCCATAAACAGCCCGGGGTCCACCCCAGCTTCAGGACGCCGGGCACTCCCTCCACCAACTGTGACGTTCCTTACCACCGCGGCTGGCACCGTGTTTTCTTGTTGCCCAATCTCCCAGCCTGTCATCCACCCACTTCCCTGTGAAGCCAGGCCCCCTCCAGACCGGCCCCCTCCAGACCGGCCGCCAGACTTTGCCAGCAATTTATACTATAGCTCAAGAAGGCGCAATATGATGCCCCATTATCTGAACTCAGCCACGGGCTTCCTGACAGCACAGGCGGCCTGAGGACCCAGGGGGTGGTGGCTTCCACCAGAGCCCTGACTTGCGCAGGCAGCAAAAGTGTGCTCTCTCTCCTCTCTCTCTCTCTCTCTCTCTCTCATACACTTAGTTGGGGCTCTCTGCACCGCTCCAGCTCTGGCCTGTGGAGTCAGCTCTTGGGAAAGCAGCGGAAGTGTCCAGGTAACTGATCACCCCAGGTTCTCAGGAGCCAGCAGTTCCAGGAGCAGGTGTCCCAGGCCCGTGTCCACCAGAGGGCTCAACGGGGCTGGGCCGCGTACGTAGCAGCCCGCAACCTGTATGCTGGCACAGGCAGTTGCTGCGTACAGTGAGATACCTCACTCTGCATGGTAATCCAGAAAACGGATCACAGCACCGAGGAGTTTCACGCCAGACCGAGAGCACCTGTGTAGGATTCCAAAGCAGGCAGGACAAATTCAGAGTGTGGCAAGGCTGGGCAGTGGCACAGGCCTCTAGTCCCAGCTACTCAGAGGCTGAGATCTCAGAACTGTGGGTCAAAGCCAGCCAGGGCGGGAAAGTCCATGAGACTTTTACCTCCAATTAACCAACAAAAATCTGGAAGTGGTGCTGTGGCTCAAGTAGTAGAGCACCAGCCTTGTGTGAAAAAGCCAAGGGAGAGTCTAAGGCCCTAAATTCAAGCCCAATACTGGCGCACACACACCAAAGAAAGCGGTGTCATGGATCAAGCAGCATTGTGTCTCTAATCTGATTTGTCGAATGGTAATTCCTTCGTACAAGCACTGAAAGATAAGAAAAGGAAGGAAGGAAGGAGAAGAAAGAAAACACGATCCTTGTTTATTTTCCCATGCTTGGGAGCTTTTCTGAGATTCCTCTCATTGTTGTTGTAAGTACACATGCTTGCATAGCCTCTTGGCACAGGGCAGGGATCGCGCCTCGTTCTTGATACACAGGGAGAAGCTGAGCAACATGGGGTTGTTTGGTGAGAGCGGGCAGAGCCAGGCTTGGTCCAGCGGTGCCCACGGCGTGGGCATGGGCCCAGCCACACCTACAAGCAGTGTCACAACGTGGAAGGATGGCTGTGCTGTGAATTCCACCGTGCCCTGCCACAGACTGGTCCCCACGCCCCCCCAGCCCCCGCCCCCATCGTGGAGCGTGGCTACTGCCATGGCAACCACGTGCCCCGCCCCCGCCTCAGTCCCAGAGGGGCTCCGGGTACAGGTCATGAGACCTCCCAGCAGCCTCGCCCAGCACCCCTCTCCCGCCCTGCACCCCGCGTCCCCCGCAGCGCCTCTGAGTGCTGTCTGTTCGCACACTCCATGTGAGTTGCACACGAGAAGCCTTTGTGAGGCCCCCGTCCTGTGCAGGGGTCACGTGGGTGGGTCTGTGGACTCAGCCGGATCCTTCTGGGGCAGGCGGTGGCCGGCCTCGGTCCTGTGGCCTCTAGAACCCTAGACTTTGGTGGCTTAGCACAGCACTCGTGTATTACACCTGGGGGTCCAACATGGGGGTCTCAGGCCAGCAAGGCCCGGTGGGGGGGAGGGGGTCGGTGTGTTTGCCTGTCGGAGGCCCAGGAGGGTTGTGTGGCTTCCTGAGGCTCATCGCCCTCTTCAGGGTCATCCCGGATGCTGTGTGCAAACTGAGTGCGGTGTAATCACCCCAGGAAGAGCCCAAAAGAGCTGGCGTGACCAAGGATGGCTGCGGGAGCCCCGGGCCTACCTCGGATGGGGGAGCAGGAATGGGGCGCAGGGGGTGCCGTAGACAAAGCACCAGATGCAGGTTAGGACCGCTGCAGGGGGGCCGTCGCGTGCTGCGCGTTTACCGTGGCCGTGGGCAGACCTCAGGTGGACGGACCTGGCGTGCACGGGGCTAGTCCCTGCCCTGTGTCTGCGCGGGCACACTGAGGCACGGCGTGGACTCGGGTGTGATGTTGGCTCTTGTGGACAGCGAGGCACCTGGCGCTCTCCCTGGGTTAGGGCAGACGCGCTGGCAGGAAGGGAAAGAGGAACTGGCCGTCTGTTCCAGCCTTAGCTGGAAGAAGCTGGTCACTACCAGCTGCCAGTGACCTCCTGGAAAAGGAAAAGATGGTTATCACATCCTGGTATCAGGGTACGAGGAAACGGGGCCACACTACCTGCCATGGCCTCGCTCTGAGGTCCCCTCCGTGTTGTCCCGGCCTCCCAGGGACTCCAAGGGTTTTCTGTGGCATCTTTCTAGGCCTGTGTCTCTCAGCACAGAAACTCAAGCTCCGAGGCCTCCCTCCCTTTCCTTGGGTTAAACAGAACGAGGCTGTCATGCCACTATCGCCCACGGGAGGCGCTCTCCACAGCGGGATGACAAAAAGCTCAGGGTCCTTCATAGGTCCATGGGCCTCGCAAGACCCAGTTCCCTTCACGAGGTTTGCTTGAGAGGAGCTGCACCGTGATTGGCAGGACTGGGCATGACCTAGGCGTCCCGGCCTTGGCCTTGGCCTTGGCTTTGGTGGGTTGCATCTGAGGGAGGCCTCAGTGCCGAACCCCTCAGGCTCACCGGCCACCCGTGCTCTCCACAGATCCACGAGCAACTGGGACAGAAAGCCGAGGACAAGGAGAAGGCAGTCACAGCCCTGCCCCCCAAGGAGGCGTGCAAGTGCCACAACGAGGACTTGGCCAGAGCGTTCTGCGTAAGAACTGAATCCTCCTCCAGTTGGAGACGGAACCTTCCAATATGGTTGCTGAAGTAGGATTCAAAGTGGAATGCTAGCACCGGCGCACGCCTGTCTTTCTAGCTACTCAGGAGGCTGAGATCTGAGGATCACGGTTCAAAGCCAGCCCGGGCAGGAAAGTCCCTGAGACTCTTATCTCCAATTAGCCAGCAAAAAGCCAGAAGTGGCTCTGTGGCTCAAGTGGTAGAGCTCTCACCTTGAGCTGAAGAGCGCAGGGACAGCAACCAGGCCCAGAGTTCAAGACCCACGACCGCCCCCCCCCCCAAAAAAAAGTAGAGTGCTTCCAACTTCTAGGGAGGACCAAGACCCACATCCTTCACACACATGTACACATGCATACACACATCCACACAGCATTCATTCTTTATGAGCTTTGCTCACTTCTGAGAGAGAGACCTGAACAACCAGGGCTGATCCATGCATCCATCCATGCATCCATCCATCCATGGCTGGTCTAGCCAGCCAGTTAGGACTGGTGCAGCCACCCTGAGTTCCAATCAAGAAGCCACTGGGTACTGAGCCCACAAAATTGTCTTAGTTCAAGAGGATTTGAATTGTAGTCCTGCATAAGACTCCGACCAGTTCCTCCTAGGGAGCTCCTTCTGGCCACAGGCCAGTGCTGGTTTTATGTCCTTCATTTTCTTTAGAGAACCAAGCAAACATACTGTGTGTATATGTGTACTCAGAACCCATCACCTTTATGAATGAGTGTGTGTGTGTGTGTGTGTGTGTGTGTGTGTGTGTGTATACACTCAGAACCATCACCTTTATGAAAGCAAATAAAAAATCTAGCAATGAAAGGTGACCATTTTCTCTGGAAAACAATCCAAAATCTGTCTGCAGCCCTGCTTATTAGTGTCGGGGGAGGGAGAATATATTTTCCGCTGCCTGGACATTTTTCCTACCTAGAAAATTAATTATATTTCCCTGCTGCAAAGACTAGGATCAGCTGAGTGATTCGTCTCACTCTAAGTCCATCTTTCTAATTGACCTTTCAAAAGCAAGGTCACAACCAGAACTGCTACATTTCTTTGCTTATTACTGATGCTGAACTTTCTTGTACTTACTCCATGTAATGAGCTTGACCTATCAGCTATGCACTAGGGAATGGTTTTGGTGGATTTTGTTCTCTTTTTTTTTTTCCTTTCTGATTTTTTTGGGGGGGGCGGCAGGTTGGGGGGATTCCTGGGCTTGAACTCAGGACCTTGTGTTCTTACTTGGCGTTTTTGCTTAAGGCTGATACTCTACCACTTGAGCCACATCTCCACATCTAGCTTTTTGCTGATTAATTGGAGGGAACAGTCTCATAGATTTCCCTTCAAATTACAATCTCAGCCTCCTGAGTAGCAAGGACTATAGTGTGAGCCACTAATGCCCAGCAATGAAGGAGGAAGGGAGGTAGGAAGGGGAGGGGGAGGAGGAGGGAGAGGAGGAAGACCTGTTTCTGCATTTGCTGAAGCGAAGGCTGGAGGCCACCTCCTCTGCACCATGCTGCAGGGCAGTCCTGGGGCAGACAGAACAGCCATGGGGCCGTTTTCCTTCTCTCTGCTGGGAGCTTTGTCCTCTGGACACAGGAGGTGGCCGCAGGGTGCAATCTGCAATGCGGGGTCCGTGGGTGTTGCTGGACTTGGCGCACTCACAGGAGACCACCATCTCTTTCCAGGTGGATTTGGACAAGGGACTGTCAGAGTTCTCGGTGACACAGCGTCGGCGGGTCCACGGCTGGAATGAGTTTATCGCTGACAACGCTGAGCCTGTGTGGAAGAAATACCTGGACCAGGTGAGGCCACAGGCATCCTGTGCGTTAACCAGCGTACGCTAGGAAGGTGAGACAGCTACTGACTCTTTAAATATTGGTCCATGGTGACCTTGAACTCCTAAGATAGGAAGTGGTGCACTGCCTGACCCTCCGCACCCGCCCAGGCCGCTCTGAGCCAGCAGGAAGAGCGGGAAGAGAAGACTGACCACCAGGCAGCCAGGACGTGCATTGTAGTGCTTACCCTGAGATCAGCGACCCAGCTTGCTGTGTGCCAGGGGTTGTGCTAAGTGAGTTAGTAAACAAGACTCAAAGCTCCCACGAATCACCATTTTACAGGGGGGGAGAGTGAAGTACAGGAATCCTGACATATTTCCCCAGGGTTTCAGACACAGCAGGAAAAGACAAGATGTGCAGCTCATTCTGAATTTTGGAGAGCAAAGCAAGAACCAATTTCTGGTGTGTGTGTGTGTGTGTGTGTGTGTGTGTGTGTGTGTGTGTGTGTGTGTGTGTGTGTGTGTGTGTGTGTGTGTGTGTGTGTGTGTGTGTGTGTGTGTGTGTGTGTGTGTGTGTGTGTGTGTGTGCAGTATTGGAGCTTGAACTCAAAGCCTGGGCACTATCCTTTAGCTTTTTCCACTCACAGGGCTGGTGCTCTGCCACTTGAACCACTGCTCCACTTCTGCTTTGTTTTGGATGGTAATTGGAAATAAGAGTCTCACGAGCTTTCCTGTCTGGGTTGGTTCCAAACTGTGATCCTCAGATCTCAGCTCCCTGAGTAGCTTAGTATTACAGGTGTGAGCCAATGGCACCCAGTTCGAGTGATTCCTTTTTTTAAATTTTTATTTATTTTTTATGGTGAAAATACTGTACAGAGGGGTTACAATTACATGGGCAAGATGAGTACATTTCTCATCAAGCATTGTAGCCTCCTCCTTTGTTTCTCCTTCCATCCCTTCCCATCCTCCCCCTGCCCTCCCCACCCAATCCTCCCTGCTGCTGCCCCCCCGCCCCGAGTGATTCCTAAGTACAAGTAAAGCCCCAAGTATTGCAATGGATGCATAACGAAGAGGAGGAGGCATTCCTTGAGGGTCTCACATTTGGGCTCCTGTGAACATCCTGTGTTTTACCCAACAACCCGAGCTCCAAGGACCCTAGCACTGAGAGTTGAACCAGGCAGCTAGCTCCAGACCCCCCCACCCCCTTAGCCACTGGCATCAAGTGCCAGCCTGGCACCAAATGGATAGTGTACAAATCAAATGTCTAGAAGCCAATAGGAAAAGGAAAGACAACGCGGAAATAGAAATCGCTCTGGCTGAGGGTACCAGTCCAGTGGCAGCTGGAAAGGCCAGGCCAGCGGGCAGCTTCCCAGACACCCGAGGGGCTGAGCTGCCCAGACGCTAACTCCCCGGCCTTCTGTATCCTCCTGGCCCCATTCTAGGCGCCTGAACTGCTCCAGGCTTCCTACTGGCTCTGTGTTGAGAATGTTTCCTGATTGGCCAGCTCCCTTCCCCGAGCAGGCCCCGCCCAGCTCATCACCTGCTTCTCAGTGCCCTGCAGTGCCGTGCATTGACGCATTTGGCACGGAGTTGGCTCCTAGCTTCACAGTGCTGGCCAGCCCACAAGATTCCTGGAACCCATGTTGTAACAAGCTGCAACACCTCTAGTTCCAGGCTCCTGGGGGCCTAGGGGCGCTCGGGCTGACGTGGTCTCTCAGGAAGGGGCTCCTTGGCAGTCTGGAGACCGGCTGGTGGACTATGGCAAACCACATGCAGGAAGGTACCAAACCTGCCAGGCACCTCACCCCTGGGATCAGATCTCAGGAAACTGAGGTTCAAAGCCAGCCTGGGGAAGAAAGGTCTGTGACTTTTTTTTTAATTGAATTTTTAGTATAAAGATGATGTACAGAAGAGTTATAGTTACAGAAGTCAGGTAATGAATGCATTGATTTTTTTTTTTTTCAGCCGTGGGGCTTGAACTTGGGGCCTGGGTGCTGTCCCTGAGCTCTTCTGCTCAAGGCTAGCACGCTACCACTTGGAGCCACAGTGCCACTTCTGGTTTTGTTTTTTTGTTTTTGTTTTTCTTTTTTGAGTGGTTAATTGGAGATGAGAGTCTTGAGGGGACTCTTCTGCCCCGGCTGGCTTCAAACCATGATCCTCAGATCTCAGCCTCCTGAGTAGCTAGGATGACAGGTGTAATCACCAGCGCCTGGCATGTGAGTACATTTCTTTCTGGACAAGGTCCCCCCTTCCCTCACGCTCTCCTGTTTTTCCCTGCCATCCCTTCCCACAAGTTGTATGGTTCAGTTTCAACCAAGTGTCTATTGAGTACCACTTATGAGATTCATCTCCAATTAACGACCAAAACACTGGCAAAGAGAGCTGTGGACCCAAGTGGTAGAGTGCCAGCCTTGAGTGAAGAAAGCTGGGGGTCAGTGCCAGGCCTCGAGTTCCAGCGCTGGTATCAGCACAAAAGCAGAAGCAGAAGAAGGAGAAGAGGGTGGTGATGCCAAGCCTACGTCACTCCAAGTGTAAGAGTCGGATGACTGGCAACGCGTGGAGCCCAGGGCTGCCAGTGAGCGGAGCGCCAGGGCCCTGCGCCTCCCCTGCGCACAGACAAAGCCCCCAGCTCCAAAGACGGAGCCGTGAGCGGAGCGCCAGGGCCCTGCGCCTCCCCTGCGCACAGACAAAGCCCCCAGCTCCAAAGACGGAGCCGTGCCCGGCACGCAGGCAGCAATCACACATCTGATTACTTTCCCTTTGTGCCTTGGCTGGTAGGAAGCTCGGGGCCCAGTGGCTTGTTTATTTGAGTCTGATTTCTGCTTCCATGCTGTCTACACTGTGTCTGTGCTTTCTTCCGTTTCTCTACCATGTGAGCTGCTGCGCCGTCTCCGCCGTGAAGGGGCCGACGCGCTAACACGTGAAAGTCCTTCTGTGGGAATTCTTTTGGAACGTCCCCAAAGGTGTCACTTTGGTCTGAGGAAGGCCAGGGGATGGAGTGGTCTTCCCGGAGCCCTCCGCGGGCAAGGGTTGACTGGAAGCCCTGGAGGACATGAGGAAGGGAGCGCCACAGCCTCCTTCAGGCGAGAAGCCACGCCCCCATCATGACATTAACCCCTGCCGCCCTGTCTTCTGTCTTCCAGTTCAAGAACCCCCTGATCCTGCTGCTGCTGGGCTCCGCCCTGGTGAGCATCCTCACCCAGGAGTATGAGGACGCCGTTAGCATTGCCCTGGTGAGTGCAGGCTTCCGGGGCTGCCAGGACCGCCGTGGACCGTGCCACGAAGGAGGTTTGCTGTGAGCAGGAAAGATGAGCCGCTGCTCTCTTCGCCTCCAGCACCAGGGGCTTGACTTGGGCACTGCGCTCTCCGTGGGCATGGAGGTCGCGTCTAGGCCTTGGCTCAGAAAACGTGGCAGCAAATTCCTTTTCTCATGCGCCTGGGATGGAAGGGGCAAGCTGAGCTCTGTGCGGTTATGTTACAAAGAGGAGCCATCCTTACTCCGTGATGCACAGATAAACACAGCACGCTTGAGAAAGCAAATCACAGCTGCCAGGTGCTGGTGGTACCACTGTCACCCCAGCCGCTCAGGAGTCTGAAAGATCAGGATCATGATTTAAAAGCCAGACAGGAAGCTGTGGCTCAAATGGTGGAAGACCTACCCTTTGAACAGAAAAGCTAAGGGACAGCGCCCAGGCCCTGAGTTCAAGTTCTAGGACCAACACACACACACACACACACACACACACACACACGCCAAAAAAAAAAGTCTGTGTTGGCTGGGAAGGTGGCTCAGTGGTAGAGTGCTTGCCTAGCATGCATGAAGCCCTGGGTTCAATTCCTCAGTACCCCATACACAGAAAAAGCCGGTAGTGACGCTGTGGCTCAAGTGGTAAGTGCTAGCCTTGAGCAAAAGCAGCTCAGAGACAGAACCCAGGCCCTGAGTTCAAGCCCCAGGACTGGCAAAAGCAGCCACAAAAAACGTCTTGTGTTACCCAGTGCTGCGATGTAAGTGTGTCTATGTGGAAGAATCCAGAACAGTGAGCCGCTTGCTGTGTAACAGCGCGGTGTGATTTCTCGGCTGCTTTGGGAGGAGGGTGCGCTGCTGAGTCTGCTCATGCGCTGTGTGAAGGCAGGCGGTGGGTGGGCTGGCCGCTGGCCGCTGGCGTCCCCGCCCTCCCGGGCCGGCCTCTGGCGTCCCCGCCCTCCCAGGCTGGCCGCTGGCCGCTGGCGTCCCCGCCCTCCCGGGCCAGGCCTGCGCTCATGTCCCCCTTCCCCGCAGGCTGTCCTCATTGTGGTCACGGTGGCCTTCGTCCAGGTGCGTATCTCCTGACCCCCGCCCCACCCGCCAGAGCTCACGGGCGTGGCAGAGGTGTGTGGGGTTGCCTCCTTCGAACAGCATGTCTGGTGCATTTCCTGCCAGGAGTACAGGTCGGAGAAGTCTCTGGAAGAGCTGACCAAGCTGGTGCCCCCGGAATGTAACTGGTATGCCAGAGCCTCCCTGGGACTTTTTGGTTTCGCGGAGGAGCCGGTGGGCTGCAAAGTTGGGCACATGCTTGGCAGAGGTGTGATTCACAACCACATCTCAGTGGGAGTCAGAGGCCTGGTCTTGGCCCTGACAGCAGTGTGCTGTGTGGCCTTCAGTGAGCCATTTGACCTCTCTGGGCCTCCACTGTGTCATTGGTGTCTAAGTCAGTCAGGGTCCCTGGTCTAGGGGCGTGGACGGTGGGAGAGGCTCAGCAGTGCGGGTGCACCCCGCATGCACCAGGCGTGTTTTTCGAAGGAGAGGCAGAGGGCACACTGGAGTCCCAAAAGGAGGCTCAGAAGGAGCCATGCCCAAGGCCTTAAAGGCAACGGAGCACAGGACATGGGTGGGGTCAAGGGAAGGGTGGTCTCCAGGCATTGGCTGAACAGCCTGTCAATCTCCTGCCCCAGCTGTCACTCAGCTCCCACCAAAGAAAGGAGAAAGACAAAGGAAGGTATCCACTGATACTGCGTGAGTGTTTCAGTTCAGTGCAATAGAGAATTCCAGAAGCATCCTGTATTCTGCCCCATGTCGTGCACTCTCATGGGTCACCTGTGCCCGCCCAGGACTTAAAAGTGGCTGGGCTAGTGGCGTCGTATTAGGTGGAATAGCGCGTGGGCAGCCTGGCGTGGACCCCCCGTGTGTGGGGACAGCGCGTGTCAAAGGAGCTCAGGGTGCGGATCTGGAGTTGACCCTCAGTGCACAGGGATCCACACGCCTGCGTCAGGAGCTGCCCTGCCTTGCCACCAGCCCCCAGCTTCCTGGCGGGAGATGGGGAGGACGGGGATGGGGGGAGGGGAGAGAGCAGCGGGGGACGGGGATCTAGAGGTGCCATGTGGTGCCGTGAAGGAATGCACTGGGCCTGGAGGGACATCTGCTGTCCCGGGCTGTAGCTATTCCTTGTGAAGGAGGTCATGTCCCCTCAGATGTGAGACCACCCCGCTGATGGGACTCCAAGCCAGCTCTGTGCACACACACACACACATACATACTACACACACACACACACACTCATCCCTTGGTGGTGCATTCTCTAAGCACAGAAGTACGGCTTACTGCAGCTCCATTCAGAGGCCTAGAACCTCTGGCAGACCTGCAGAAGCTTCCAGAAAGCTGATGGCCCAGCCTGTTTACAGGTAGGGCAGAGAACAGCAGCTCACCTCTCAGATGAGACTTGGGTCTCCCAAAAGCCACACAGGAGTTAGGATACAGAAATTTAAAAACTAGTCACAGCCAGGGATGGGAGTGTGGCTCAAGTGTCAGAGCACCTGCAGCTCAAACACAAGGCCCTGAGTTCAAATTCCAGTACCACCAAAATAAATACACTGAAAAATAATAAACCTATAAAGATGCAAGGGGTTGGCTGCCAAGAAAAGACAGCATTCCTACTATCGTCACTCCAGTTTGTCCAAGTGCATCAAAGTGGGTGTGAGCAGGGGCCCCCCATTTTCCCTCCTCCACCGCAGCATCAGGGACGGAAAGCTCCAGCGCATGCTCGCGCGAGATCTGGTTCCCGGAGACATTGTGGCTCTCTCCATCGGAGACCGGATCCCCGCCGACATCCGACTCACGGAGGTGAGCATCCCCTCCAGATCCACCACAGGGCAGAGTGTGGGGAAGGTGGGGTCCTCCCTCGAGGGTCTCCCCACCCTCAGGGCCAACTCTGCCCTTCTGACTCCACCGCTGGCAGCTGACCCCACAAGCAGCTGCCAACAAGCCTCCAAGCTGCAAGGGAAGCAGGGCAGGCTGCTTCTCACTGCTCAGCCAGGAGGTGGCGCTGCACATGCTCTCGGGAAGGGGCGGGGTCTGGATGGCAGGCAGCCAATGAAGACTTGCGTCCACTGCACAAGTGGCTGAGGGAGCAGTGAGTGAGTGGATCCTGGGGCTGAGCATTAGTCTGGGTTTCAGCCCTGGCTCCATTCCAAGCTGTGCCTCAATCTCTTGGTCCATAGAGTAGGAAGTAGTAATTCCAAGGGGGTATTTGAAGGATTGAATGGCTTCATAGGAGCGGCGTGCTGGGTCAGCTGAGTGGGTAAAGGTGAAGACAGGGGAATAGGCTGCTTTGATCACACTCTGTATTGGCAGGCAGCCCTGGGGTTTAAATCCTGCCCCCGCCCCATCCCCCAGTGTGTGACCTGGGAAAGGATTTGCCTCTCTGGGCCTTGATTTCTTCCTTCCTGGAGTTTGGAACTCAGTGCTTTGATTTCCGTTTTCATTGTAAGTCTATCCGACAGACCTTGGGAGTTTTGTTTGTTTGGTGCTGGTACTGAGGCACCGCCTCTCAGCTTTCTCCACTCAAGGCGGATGCTCCACTGCTTGAGCCACAGCTCCACTTCCAGCTTTTTAGTGGTTCATTGGAGGCAAGACTTTTGTGAACTTTTCTGCCCAGGCTAGCTTTGAATCCCAATCCTCGGATCTCAGGCATGAGCCTCCAGCATCCAGAAACTAATATCTTCCAAGAGGTGTGGGTGCTTCACTGACTCCCTGACCCCTGGATGCCACGATTCTGATTCTGGCTGTCTGGATTCGTTCAGGGGACGTCCACCGTGTCTCTGGGTGCCGTTCCAGCTGCTAAAATCCACGTGGGGGAAAAGGAAACCCCAACGGTCTCTTGGCTCCCCCAGGTCACAGACCTCCTGGTGGATGAATCCAGTTTCACGGGAGAAGCTGAGCCATGCAGCAAGACAGACGCCCCCCTGGCGGACAGCGGCGACCTCAGCACCCTGAGCAACATCGTCTTCATGGGAACGCTGGTGCAGTGCGGGAAGGGGCAGGTGAGCCAGGCTCCGGGACCCTGGGCGCCCCCCCCCCCCAGCCCCTGCTTTCAAGCCTCTCTTTCTGAATGCAGGGGGTCGTGATTGGCACCGGTGAGAGGTCTCAATTTGGAGAGGTGTTCAGGATGATGCAGGCGGAAGAGGTCAGTCAAGGGCGACGTAGGCCGGGCTTTGGGATAATTCTAGATTAGTGACACAGCCCCGTCTACCCCAGGATGCAGGCAACGAGGCTAATGCGTCAACCCTTCTAAACGCAGGTTCCAGGCAGTTATCAGGTGTTCATCAAGGGGTTAGCGTTCGACAGAAACATGCCCGGACTTTAGGGTGGAGGAAGTGAATCTGTGCCTTGTGAGGTTGTTGGACGGAGCAGGATACAGGACAGTGAAGGACAGAGGCCGGGGGCACGCTGCCGGGCTGCGGCCTAACCTCATCTCTCCTTGCAGACGCCTAAGACTCCCTTGCAGAAGAGCATGGACCAGCTGGGCAAGCAGCTGACCCTCTTCTCGTTTGGCATCATTGGTGAGCGGAGCAGCTTCCCGCTGGGTTCTGGGAGCAGGGATGCATCCCAGAGCAGCTGCCATAACACGGCCATCACTCAAGCTCCCCCTGGGACCACGGGGCAGAGCTGGGAGCAGACACGAGGCCCTGGGTTTGTGCAGGCTGAGCTGACTGGGGGTGGAGGAGGAGGAGGAGGAAGATGAAGACCTTTACTTCCTGTTTGTCCTGGGGTCACAAGTAGACAGATCAGAACTTAGGTATGGCACAGTTCTCCTGGGAGCCCGGCTGCAGGGCAGATGTTGGAAGGACTGTCCTACACCAGACACTGGGCTGTGTGGCTCTTTCCTCTCTGCGGCAGCCATGGCGGCTGCGGGTGCTGGGGCAGGCTGGTGCACCGGCGTTGGTAACGAGCGCTGGACCCCGGCTGCCCCCCGGGAGGGGTGGCTTCTCACACGCCCCCCAAGCTGTGGACACCACGCGGCAGGAAAACCCATTTCCATCCTGGCTCCAGGACAACACAGGGCAGAGAGGAGGGCAAGGGGCTGACAGCCATTTTAAACAGCAGGCCGGTGGCTTCGCAGCCCAGAAGTAGTGCCACCAGGGAGCTTGGAAATGACAAGGCTTGGGCGGAAGTGGGTGGGGGCTGGGGAAAACGGGCACCAGCCACCAGGGCTGAGAGCCCAGAGTGGTAGAGCAGCTGCTGGGCATGCGTGAGGCCTGGGTTCGGGGTCAGCCTGTGGCAGGAGGCGGGGAAGGTGGGAGGAAGGGAGGAGCCGCCCACCTGAACATGTCAGGAGCAGCTGTCACCGGCTCTGGGGACCGGGGAGGGCGGCCCTGGCTGCACGGCGCCCTGGGACCTTAGGAGAGCGGCCTGGGGCGCAGTGACCACAGAACCCCTTCTCTCCCTCCAGGTCTCCTCGTGCTCCTGGGCTGGGTGCAGGGCAAGCCGCTGCTCAGCATGTTCACCATCGGGGTCAGGTAAGAGCCCCCCCCCCCCATCACAGAGAGCATGAGAGGCTGCGGGGCGCGCAGGGCTCGGCGTCCCCCCACAACCAGGCCCCAGAGCGCGTGTCCGGCCAGCGTTCAGAAGCAGGCCTCACCCTGCCCATCCCGTCCCTCTGCCCAGACCACAGACGCCGCAGCCCAGGCTTTGGCTCTGCGCCCGCCGGGCACCACAAGCGTGGGTGCTCCAAGAGCCCCCCGGAGCAGAGCTGAGGGGGCAGAGATTCCTCTGGGCTCGTGGGGGGTTCCGTACGTCATGTGGGGACGGCAAGGGGGAGCAGGGCAGCTGACATTTGCTGCAAAGCAGAGGGGGGCATGTGGGAGCTGTGGAGGGTCCCCTACCTTTAATCCCACCCAGGCCCCAGCCTAGGCAATGGGGTTATCGCACTCGGGACACACCAGACGTGGGCTTCCCCCGTCTCCTAGGTGTCTCTCGGTCCAGTCGAACATGGACAAGCATCTTATCTATGCATAGTTGAGGCGGAGAGGTGAGAAGGGGCCACTAAAGGAAAGGGCAGAAGGTGTGCCAGGAGGGGCCAGGCAGGTGCAAAGGCCCTGGGGTGGGATTGACATGGAACTGAGTCCCACCAGGAGGAGACCCGGCCGGACTCAGCAGGACAGATGACGGCTTCCTCTCTACCAGACCCCTTTCAGATGACACATAGGCTTCCCCCGATCTTTAAGCTTCTGCCAGGGGAGGCCCAGGTAGAAGGCTTGCGGCGCAGGCCCCAGCTTGCTGCAGGAGAGGGGCGGGGGGTGAGCTGTGCTGTGGACCTGGAGTGCATGTGTTTGGGGAGACCCCCCTAATGAGGGGCTGTGACGCCCAGCAGCATGCTGCACCACAGAGAGGAAGAGGCGGCGGGCGGGAGCCAGCTCGCCCGGAAAAACTCCCGGAAAGGAGTCCAGAGCCGCTGCTACACATTCTAGAAAGGTCCCTGTGCTGAGACCCCAGGGCTGCTGGTCACTGTGTCCGCATTTCCTATCAACCTGCCCTGCGGTGGCACCGGCCGAGGCTCAGGTTTCCGGGTGTCGGTGTCAGATTCGTGGAGGATTTTCTAAAATGCATACCAGGCAGCTGTCCTTTAAAAAACACTTTACCCTGAGCCCGGCGCCGGCGGCTCACGCCTGTCATCCTAGCTGCTCAGGAGGCTGAGATCTGAGGATCACGGTTCAAAGCCAGCCCGGGCAGGAACGTCCATGAGACTCTGATCTCCCATAAACCATCCCAAGTGAGAAGTGGCTCAAATGGCCATGAGCATGAAAAGCTCAGAGACAGTGCTGAGGCCCCGAGTGCAAGCCCCAGGACTGGCCACACACACACACACACACACACACACACACACACACACACACACACACACACACACACACACACACACACAACCTGTCCCCTAATTCCTTATGGTGATTGAAGCGCATGCCTTTCCTGGGATGTTCTAATCTTTATTAGTTGTGGATTAATTCTGTATTACCGTGAACATCTCCGGGCCCACCCCTGGCACCCTGCCCTGCGGGGACCCGTCCTAACCCTCGGCAAATATTTGCCCAACTCAGCCATAAAACCACGGAGGCTTTCTGGTTATCACCATGGAAACCAGGTACCACCCCTTGGCCAAATTCAGTAATCTTGGTTTATATAATGTGTCCTGAATGGCCCATTGTCTCTGGACAGAAGCTACCATTCCTACGCTATCTTTCTTAGATTCTAGATTTGTTTTTCTTATTTTACTTTATTGTTATTATTCTTATCATTGGTGGTACTGGATTGAAAGCAGGTTCTTGAACTCCTTAAACAGGTACTCTACCGCTTGAGCCAGACCCTCAACTCTGCATCTTTTTTTACTGCTTATTTTCAACATAGAGTCTCCTTTTTTGCCCTGGCCAGCCTCTACCTCAATCCTTTTACCTCTACCTGTCTTGTGGCTGGGATGAGAGGCTAGACTCACTGTGCCTGACTTGTTTGTTGAGATGGAGTCTCCCTCGCTTTGTCACCCAGGCCAGTCTTAAACTCGGATCCTCCAGATCTCCACTCCTCTGGGATTACAGGCATGCACTGCCATGACTGTCATCATTCTTCGAGTGTCGGTTCAGATATTAACATTCTCGTGCCATCGCCTTAGATTCTAAGCTTTAGATTCTAAGGTATCCATTCTTCTTCACATCTGGCTTCCTCCCTTAGTGCGTCACAAAGAACGGTCGGTGGCTTCCGGACCGCGCTGTCTTAGTCTCCCTGCGCGTGAGGAGGTTGCGCGAGCATCCTTGGCCAGGCTGCCTGCCGGTCACGGACACGGGAAGCCCCTGCCCTGTGCGGGGCAGGCTGGAGCCAGGGCACCGGTCCTCGCATCCACCCCGTCCCTCCTGCAAACACCCAGGCCCAGTGCTCAGAGTGGAATCAGGGGAGAGGCAGAGGGGATTAGGTTTTTTTTGGAACTGTTGCCATGTTTAAAAATCAGAATCTGCTTTTAAAGCCCGAGCTTTAAAGTCTGGCTGTGCTGCTACCCACCCAGGTGGCTGTGTGTGGCATTTTCTTGGGCGGTGCCCAGCCAAGAAGGACACCAACACTTGACATCCCATTTAGTAGAATTATAAGCACACACCATGATGCCCTGCTTACTTGTTGAAATGAGATCTCACTAACATTTCGCCTGGACTGGCCTCTAACAGTAATCCTCCTGACCACTCCACCTCCCAAGTAATGCTTCTCAGGTCCTCTCAAGTCTCTCTCCCTAACAAATCAGAAGAGGGAGCTGGGAGTGTGGCTCCGTGGTAGAGCGCTTGACTCGCATGCACGAAGTCCTGGGTTCAATTCCTCAGCATCCAACACAGAAAAAGCCGGTATTGGCCCTCTGGCTCAAGTGGTAGAGCGCTAGCCTTGAGCAAAAAAAAGCTCAGAGAAGGTGCTCAGCCCCTGAGTTCAAGCCCCAGGACCAGCCAAAACACAAACACAAAAACAAGAAGAGATTAGAAAGCCATAGCAGTCACAGAGACAATGACAGATTAATTCACACTCAAGTGTGGTTGTCTGACAGGAGCAGAGGGCTTGCAGGGGGAGTGGTGGGGCAGTGGTGCTGCGGAGACAAGCACAGGGGAAAGAAGGGGCGAGGCGGGGGATCGCACAGACCAGGCGCGAGGCGCAGGATCGCACAGACCAGGCGCGTGGCGAGGCGAGGCGCAGGATCGCACAGACCAGGCGCGTGGCGAGGCGCGGGATCGCACAGACCAGGCGCGTGGCGAGGGATTGCACAGACCAGGCGCGTGGCGAGGGATTGCACAGACCAGGCGCGTGGCGAGGCGAGGCGCAGGATCGCACAGACCAGGCGCGTGGCGAGGCGTGGGATCGCACAGACCAGGCGCGTGGCGAGGGATTGCACAGACCAGGCGCGTGGCGAGGCGTGGGATCGCACAGACCAGGCGCGTGGCGAGGGATTGCACAGACCAGGCGCGTGGCGAGGCGTGGGATCGCACAGACCAGGCGCGTGGCGAGGGATTGCACAGACCAGGCAGGGGATCGCACAGACCAGGCGCGTGGCGAGGTGCGGGATCACACAGACCAGGCGCGTGGCGAGGACGCTGGGATCGCACAGACCAGGCGCGAGGCGCGGGATCGCACAGACCAGGCGCGAGGCGCGGGATCGCACAGACCAGGCGCGTGGCGAGGCACGGGATCGCACAGACCAGGCGCGTGGCGAGGCGTGGGATCGCACAGACCAGGCGCGAGGCGAGGCAGGGGATCGCACAGACCAGGCGCGTGGCGAGGCGCGGGATCGCACAGACCAGGCGCGTGGCGAGGCGTGGGATCGCACAGACCAGGCGTGTGGGGAGGGATCGCACAGACCAGGCGCGAGGCGAGGCGCGGGATCGCACAGACCAGGCGCGTGGCACGGTGCGGGATCGCACAGACCAGGCGCGTGGCGAGGCAGGGGATCACACAGATCAGGCAGGGGATTGCACAGACCAGGCGCGTGGCACGGTGTGGGATCGCACAGACCAGGTGCGTGGTGAGGCGTGGGATCGCACAGACCAGGCGCGTGGCAAGGCACGGGATCGCACAGACCAGGCGTGTGGCATGGTGCGGGATCGCACAGACCAGGCGCGTGGTGAGGCAGGGGATCGCACAGACCAGGCGCGTGGCGAGGCAGGGGATCGCACAGACCAGGCGCGTGGCGAGGCGCGGGATCGCACAGACCAGGCGCGTGGCAAGGCGCGGGATCGCACAGACCAGGCAGGGGATCGCACAGACCAGGCGTGTGGCACGGTGCGGGATCGCACAGACCAAGCACGTGGCGAGGCGGGGGATCGCACAGACCAGGCGCGTGGCAAGGCGCGGGATCGCACAGACCAGGCGCGTGGCAAGGCGCGGGATCGCACAGACCAGGCGCGTGGCATGGTGCGGGATCGCACAGACCAGGCGCGTGGCGAGGCGGGGGATCGCACAGACCAGGCGCGTGGCAAGGCGCGGGATCGCACAGACCAGGCGCGTGGCATGGTGCGGGATCGCACAGACCAGGCGCGTGGCGAGGCGGGGGATCGCACAGACCAGGCGCGTGGCACGGTGCGGGGCGCGCGCCACCGTGGCGGAGGCTCACAGGGTCTGGCTTTCCCCGCAGCCTGGCTGTGGCCGCCATTCCCGAGGGCTTGCCCATCGTCGTCACGGTGACGCTGGTCCTGGGCGTGCTGCGCATGGCCAAGAAGCGGGTGATGGTGAAGAAGCTGCCCATCGTGGAGACTCTGGGTGAGGCCCCGCGGGCTGGACGGAGGTTCGGGGGGCGGCCGGCCGTTCTGCGGGCTGGACGGTGGTTCAGGGGGGCGGCCGGCCGTTCCGCGGGCTGGACGGTGGTTCGGGGGGCGGCCAGCCGTTCCGCGGGCTGGACGGTGGTTCGGGGGGCGGCCGGCCGTTCCATGGGCTGGACAGCGGTTCGGGGGGCGGCCGGCCATTCCGCGGGCTGGACGGAGGTTCGGGGGGGGGGGTGGCCGGCCGTTCCACGGGCTGGATGGAGGTTCGGGGGGCGGCCGGCCATTCCGCAGGCTGGACAGCGGTTCGGGGTTGGCCGGCCGTTCCGCAGGCTGGACGGAGGTTTCGGGGGGCGGCCGGCCATTCCAGTGCAGAGTGTTTCACCCGTCTCTCTGCACACCCGCGTCTGGCGGGGCCAGGTTGCTGTGATGTCATCTGCTCAGATAAGACAGGGACACTGACGGCCAACGAAATGACCGTCACCCAGCTGGTCACCTCCGATGGGCTGCAGGCCCAGGTGAGTCCTGTACGTTCACGCGGTGTGAGACCACGGTGAGCCCCGCCACCAACTGAGGGCCCGTGGAATCTTCTAGAACATGGTGGGTGGAGACCAGGGGCTGTGGGGCCGCCTCCTTGCTTCAAAATGGCAGCAGGCATTGCCACCCCTCTGCAGCGCCCCTTCCGTTCTAGTTGCTTTTGGCTAGATCTCATTGCGAGCGTTAGTTTTTCATTGTTTTGTGGCTGTGGTCTGGCGTGTGCCCCGGCGCCGCCCTGACCCCCAGCGTGAGCGCACACGGCCACACAGCGCGAGACCCCGCTGTGCACGCTCCCCCAACGAGGGTCTGTAGGAAGAACTCCGTGCTGCACTCAGCCACGTCTCCCAGGCAGAGCAGCAGTGAACGGGGGCGTGGCAGCGTCTACTTGGTAACTACGCTGTTGGGGTTTTTGTTGTTGTTTTTGGTGTGGGTACTGGGGCTTGAACTCAGGGCCTGGGCACTGCCTCTGAGCTAGTCCTCTACCACTTGATCCACACCTCCACGTCTGGCTTTGGGGCAGTTAATTGGAGATAAGAGTCTCACGGACGTTCCTGCCTGGGCTGGCTTTGAACCATGATCCTCAGGTCTCAGCCTTCTGAGCAGCTAGGATGACAGGCGTGCGCCACCAGCGCCCATTCTTGGCACATGGGCATGGGCATCTGTGGACATGTGGTAGTCGGTGGCTTCCCTGGCCCGGGGACAGATGTGCCATCTTGACAGGGGCTTTGTGTCTGCGAGGCTAGTATGTGCACCACAGCTCTGAGAAAATGTACATCCAGTGTGTTCTAGAACATTCTCTCCCTGTGCCTGCCCAGGGATCACCCTAGTACGCAGTCACCCCCGGCCCCCAGAGCGTGCTGTGGGTCAGCGGTGTCGGTGGTTAGCTGGCCCCGAGGGACGTGTTCCCGTACCGGCCGCGTCTTTGGGGACGAGGGGGGACGGGCCACGCCGGGAGCCCCGTGGGCAGCCCGGTGACATGCGCGCTCGTGCCCCGCAGGTCAGCGGCGTCGGGTACAACGGCACGGGCGCCGTGCGTCTTCTCCCAACCAAGGAAGTGGTCAAGGGGTTTGCCAGCGTCTCCGTGGGGCGGCTGGTGGAGGTGAGCGGGCACCCGGGGCACTGCCGTGGGCTGCGGCTTCTCTCCAGCCAGGGACCTGGGCACCCGTCAGCGGCCGCGACCCTGGCCGGCCCACGCGCGGTGACCGGCTGTGGTCATCGAGGCCCGGGTCAGCCCCCAGGGGGACCCCCTCCAAGCTGTGCCCATCCCCCAGGGTCAGGGGCCCCCAAGTGTACCCCACCAGGATGGTTGGGAAGCTGGGGTCATCTCCCCAGGGCGGTGTGAGCCAAGCCCTGGGCTATCCCCGTGCGAGCGCACACTGCATTCCTTCTGGTCAGTTCCAGTGCCGGCAGGGAGGGACGCGGGGTCACCCCAAGTGGAACTCATTAGGTCCCGCCCCCTCAAGGGCCCCCCGTCACCCACATCACCCCCCACTACATTCCTCAGACGGCTTTGCATCCCGGCCCTGCTCCGGGCCGGAGGCAGGACTTGTGCTTCTGTGCTGAGAGGCTGATTTGGTGGAGCACTGTCTGTCCATCTCCAGCCACCCTCCCTCCCCCCTCCCCCCCCCCCCCGTCTGTCTCCAGCCCCAGCTCTAAGGGGCCCCGCGGGCCAGTGTGTCCTGGGTGGGCCCCGCCCGGGGCAGCTCCCGAGAGATGGCCACCACTCTAAGTGACTCGTTTCAGGCTGGCTGCGTGGCCAACAATGCTGTCGTGGGGAAGAACTCGGTGATGGGGCAGCCCACCGAGGGCGCCCTGCTCGCGCTGGCCATGAAGGTAGGGCGCTGGGTGCTGGGTACTGGGCGCTGGATGCTGGGTACTGGGCACTGGGTGCTGGGCGCTGGGTGCTGGGTACTGGGTGCTGGGCGCTGGGTGCTGGGTGGGTGCTGGGTGCCAACAAAATTCGGGCCCAGGGAGCCCGGGGTGCTGTGCAGTCTCGGGGAGTCCCGTGGGTCTCTGAGCCCTCTGGCAAGACTCTAGAAGGAGCCGGGCGCTGGTGGCTCACGCCTGTAATCCTAGCTACTCAGGAGGCTGAGATCTGAGGATCATGGTTCAAAGCCAGCCCAGGCAGGAGAGACCGTAAGACTCCTATCTCCAATAAACCACCAGAAAACCGGAAGTGGCGCTGTAGCTCAAGTGGTAGAGCGCTCGCCTTGAGCTGAAGAGCTGAGGGACAGCATCCAGGCCCAGAGTTCAAGCCCCACGACCAACAAAAAAAAAAAAAAAAGACTCTAGAAGGAATCCCAGAAAAACACGATGCTCAGGCCCAGGTGCTATAGACGGGAGCCCTGAGTGGCCCTGCGAGGTTTTCTCCATCCGCTCACCCAGGCCCCCCGCCTCCAACACCCCCCTCCCACATTCAGGCCATGAGCTCCAGTTTCTCATCTACGAGGTGGTTTAAATGACGGAGGATTGGCACAGCCCCCCCTCTGCCGGCACGGGCCTCCGGTGACGCTCCATCCTTCTTCCTAGATGGACTTAAGTCACGTCAAAGACTTGTACGTCCGAAGGGAAGAGATCCCCTTCAGTTCCGAGCAGAAGTGGATGGCGGTGAGATGCAGCCTGAAGAATGAGGTGCGTCTGTGCACAGACATGGACGGAGGACCCTGGGCCAGGTCCTGGGAGCCTCCAGACTCAGAGGGGCAGTGGGAGTGGGGTCCAGGGTGTCCTGCTCTCCTGGGGCTCTCCAAGAAGGGCCCAGTCACTGTATCAGGAGCTAGACAGAAATTCAGAGCCCTGGCCCCAACCCCACATTCCTCCTGTGTCAGAAACTCCCACTGAGTCTGGCACTAGTAGTTCATGCCTGTAATCGGAACTGCTCAGAAGGCTGAGATCTGAGGATCACAGTTTGAAGCCAGCCTGGGCAGAAAAGAGACAAGAGGCTCATCTCTAACCAGCAAATGCCAGAAGCGGAGCTGTGGTTCAAATGGCAGAGCATCAGCCTTGAGTGGAAAAGCTAAGCAGTAGCACCCAGGTCCTGAATTCAAGCCCAGACACCAGCGCGCACACACACACACGCACACGCACGCACGCACACGCACGCACGCACGCACGTCCCAGCGGAAGCCCCACGCACCCGTGTCCTGGGGCGGGCACAAGTGGGAGACAAGTACAGGCCAGCTCTGCCCCATGCTGGTCCCGGGACCGTGGCGGTCACTGCCGAGGCTGCCGGTGACCGCGGAATTTTCCTCCACCTTCTGCAAGGATGGGGACGACATGTACTTCATGAAGGGAGCCTTGGAGGAGGTGGTGCGCTGCTGCAGCCTCTACAACCATGGGGGCCTCTCCCTGCCGCTGACGCCCCAGCAGGAGGCCTTCTGGAGGCAGGAGGAGAGGAGGATGGGGGCGCTGGGGCTGCGGGGTCAGTACCGATGCCGGCCTGGCGTCCACGGGCACGGGGCGCTGGCAGGGGTGGGGTGGTGAACTCACCTCCAGAACAGAGCCACCCGTGACCTGTGCCCACCCAGGCATGGTTTACATGTAGGAGGGGAGGGGAGGGGGAGGGGAGGGGAGGGGAGGGGGGAGGGGAGGGGAGGAGGGAGGGGAGGGGGGAAGGGAGGGGAGGGGAGGGGGGAGGAGAGGGGAGGGGAGGGGGGAGGGGAGGGGAGGGGGGAGGGGAGGGGAGGAGGGACGGGAGGGGGGAAAGGAGGGGAGGGGAGGGGAGGGGAGGGGAGGGGAGGGGGAGGGGACACCCACCAGCCCAGGAAAATGCTTCCACCCATCTCCCTCTTTCTGCCCTGAAGCCCCGCCTTCCCTGAGGGCATGTGGGATGCTGGGTGTCACGTGACGCTTGTCACCCGGGGTTCCCTTCGCGGTCAGTGGCCACGGCCCCACACCCACTGGAGGTGACAGGTGCAGACTCGGAGAGGACAGGAATGGCCACGGCGCCGTCCTCACCGCCCAGGCTCCCTGGTGGCCGTGCGTGGTGGAGGCTCTGGTTCCAGTCCACGCGTGGCCAGCCCTGTGTCCCCTCCCGGCGGGCACACAAGGCCACCACCCCTCCTGCCCTCCCCACCCCAGCCGCTCGCAGACAGGATGGGGGCCATGGCGGGGGGGGCCTGGCTGGGGACTGAAGTGGCCCTTTCAGCCCCCGTGACCCCTGCTTGGGCCTTGCTCTCCCGCAGTGCTAGGCCTGGCCTCCGGGCCCGAGCTGGGGCGGCTGACCTTCCTGGGTCTGGTGGGCATCATCGACCCCCCGAGGGCCGGCGTGAAGGAAGCCATCCAGCTGCTCTCGGCCGCGGGCGTGTCGGTGAAGATGGTGACGGGGGATGCCCTGGAGACAGCCATGGCCATAGGTACCGGGGTGAGGGCCGGGGACCCACTCCTTCCCCTCACTCTGTCCCCCGCCAGGCTGCAGCAGCTCTGCCACCCAGCCCCAGGCGCGTAGAGAAGGTGCTGAGCTGCACAGGCTGGCGGGGCTCCGGCGTTCTGCCTGCTGACCTGCTGGAAGCGAAAATACTAGTAGTTCTCCAGAGGCCCTGTGCAAACCGAGGGCCTACTGTGTGCGCAGAACTGAGGGCCTACCATGTGCGCAGAACTGAGGGCCTACTGTGTGTGCAGAACTGAGGGCCTACTGTGTGCGCAGAGCTGAGGGCCTACTGTGTGTGCAGAACTGAGGGCCTACTGTGTGCGCAGAGCTGAGGGCCTACTGTGTGCACAGAACTGAGGGCCTACTGTGTGCACAGAACTGAGGGCCTACCGTGTGCGGCAGGCTCCTCGTCCCGTGCTCCCCCCTCCCCCGACAGCAGTGTGCAGCGTGCGGTGTCCATGCTGGCTGCAGCGCTGGACAATCACGAGCCACCTGACCCTCAGTCTCAGTGTTCACGGAGGGCCCCCAGCTGCCATGGCGTTCCCGTGGTTCTCTGCGTCTACATGGGCACAGGGAGGGATGGGCGTGGGGTGGAGGGTGGGAGCCGCCTCAGGCCCACACTCTGGCAGGAAGGAACATCGGCCTGTGTGACGAGCAGCCGAAGGCCATGTCTGGGGAAGAGGTGGAGGGCGCCGAGCAGGGCGAGCTGGCGGCCTGCGTGGAGCAGGTGCGTTCTCGGGCTGGCAGGGCACGGGGGTGGGGGCAGCCTCTGTCCCATGCCCACTGACGCCTCACCCTGCTGCACCAGGTGTCTGTGTTCTACAGGACCAGCCCCAAGCACAAGGTCAAGATCATAAAGGTATGCTTGGCCGGCAGGCCTGCTCAACCCCCGGCCGTAGGCCCCGGGAGCTCACAGGTCCCTCGGGGGACAGTCTGGGTGGATGGGTGGCTGTGTGGGTGCATGGGTGACTTGTGGGCCTCAGCCACAGCTCAGGTCACCCCACCATATTTGGCCCCAGGGAATGCTGGGAAACGTCTTCTCTGGTGGGCAGGCAAGCCTAGAAGACCCCCATTTCAACCATTAAAAAGCTGGGTGTGATAGACACACCTATCATCCCAATTACATCAGAAATATAAATAGGAGAATGCTGTCAATGCTGGCCCAGGCATATACATGAAACCCTGTCTCAAAAATAATGAAAGCAGGGGCTGGGAAGGTGGCTCAGTGGTAGAGCGCTTGCCTTGCATGCCTGAGGCCCTGGGTTCGATTCCTCAGCACCACATAAGCAAAAAGAAAAAAGCCAGAAGTGACGCTGTGGCTCAGGTGGTAGAGCGCTCGCCTTGAGCTGAAGAGCTGAGGGACAGCGCCCAGGCCCAGAGTTCAGGCCTCACGACCGGACCCAAAAAAATAATAATAATAATGAAAGCAGGCTGGGCGCCGCTGGCTCACGCCTGTCATCCTAGCTATTTAGGAGGCTGAGATCTGAGGATCACGGTTCAAAGCCATCCCAGGCAGGAAAGTCCATAAGACTCTTATCTCCAATGAGCCACCACAAAACCAGAAGTGGTGCTGTGGCTCAAGCAGAAGAGTGCTCGCCTTGAGCTGAAGAGTGCAGGGACAGCGCCCAGGCCCAGAGTTCAAGCGGCATGACCAACAACAAAAAAAGAAAAGAAATTAAAAAATGATACCTAAGAGGGCTGAGGGTATAGCTCAGCAATAGAGCATTTTTCTAGCAAGCACAAGGCCCTAAGTTCAAATCCCACTACCATCAAAGAAAAAAAACCTCTTAGGAATGCCTGTGGTTTTCTCACATATCTAGCACTCCCCCGGGGACGTTGGGGCTGCGCTTTCTTCTTTTTGGTTATGTGGGGCTGGTTTCCTCGCTTTGTTTTGGTATAAAGTTGTGACAACGCAGGTTGTTCCACACGAGGGGTTCGAGGCCCTCCCTGGGTGGGGCGCTGCTTTTGCCTGCTAATAGCGACCTTCGCTGCCTGAGCCTGGGCCTCCCATGCCAGGGTGCGGCTGGCGGCCGCTGGGGCAGGCGGAGCTGGTGCCGACGCCGGCGCCGGGCAGCGATTCCCGGCGCCCCTCTGAAGGGTCCCGGCCTCACTGCTTGACTTGGGGGGAAGATTCTAGAAGGGGGTGCTCCAGCCACGGGCCCACACAGCCTGCCCTTCCCACAGGCCCTGCAGGAGTCGGGGGCGGTGGTGGCCATGACGGGGGACGGCGTGAACGACGCGGTGGCCCTGAAGTCCGCGGACATCGGAGTTGCCATGGGACAGACGGGGACGGATGTCAGCAAGGAAGCCGCCGACATGGTGCTGGTGGACGATGACTTCTCAGCCATCATGTGAGCAGCAGGGGGCGAGGGGAACGGGGGGGTATTGAGCATGCGTGCTGCGCTGGACATGGGAAGGGGGAGCTGCTGAGAGGGGGGACCCCCAGGCAGGCCTCCCCTCCGGGTGCCAGCAGCGCCTGCCTGCCCTGAGGTCCAGATCAGAACCCAGAGTCGGCTCTGGGTTCAGGCCCAGGACTGACCCGTGTGCACGTGCATGTGCACACACACACACAATCACGTTTGGAAGGATAGACATTGACAGTTTGGGGGTTCAGCGTGGTACTGGGCGGCAAGCTTGCTAAGCAGGTGGTCTCATTGCTGAGCCTTAGCCTCTTCTGGTGGTACTTCAGGTTTTGGGTCTCAGTTCCTTCCTGGGTGCGCACCTGGACCACAGTCCTAATTTGGCTTCCCACTGAAACTGGGACCAGAGGTGTATACCACCACACCCAGATTTTTCTGTTGAGATGGAGTCAGTAGATGTGTCTGCCTGGGCTGGCCTAGAACAGCAAACTTCCCATTCCCAGCCTCCCAAGTGGCTGGCACTGCTAGCATGAACCACCAGCACCTGGCTGAAGTAGTCTTCTCTTTACAACAGACTTGCCTTTTTCTTAAAACCCTTCACTTCAGCTATACAAAAACGCAGTCCTGACGCGCAGGGCAGGCAGGGCCGTCAGTTCCTTTGCAATTCATCTGGACAGCTTTCTCTGTTAGCGACACCAGGCCTGGCTGTCAGGAGGCCTTGGCCACACCCCTCCATGCCTCCGGTGGGCGTGGCTTGCAAGCTCCACCCCATCACACAGGTGGCATCAGCCGGGGCCCCTGACAGAGGTGTCACTCAGACAGTCCACACGGGGCGGCAGGAAGCTGCTGGGTACCGTCGGGGCGATGTGGCCTTGTGCTCTGGGGCGCCCGCCGGGGTCAGCTCACGTGGTCACGCCTGCCGTCCCGGCCTGCCTTGCAGGGACGCCGTGGAGGAAGGCAAGGGGATCTTCCACAACATCAAGAACTTTGTCCGCTTCCAGCTGAGCACGTGAGCGGCGGCCGGCCCTCCCCTCCCGGCGTGGCGGGCGCTGGGGTGGCAGGCAGGCTCTGACAGCCGCGTCTGCCGTGGGGCCCGCAGGAGCATCGCAGCCCTGAGCCTCATCACCCTGTCCACCGTGTGCGACCTGCCCAGCCCCCTCAACGCCATGCAGATCCTGTGGGTGAACATCATCATGGACGGGCCGCCAGCCCAGAGGTGAGGCCGGCCCCAGGTCGCAGGGAACGGGGGAAGGGGGCGGGGGGGGGGGGGACCCAGGCGACTGAAGGGTGCTGTGCTTGGGGGAGGGGACGGGAGGAATCAGCTGGAATACAGGGCTCCCTGGGGCTAGAACGCAGGCCCTGATCTCCTCAGCTCACACCTCCAGAACCGCACCCCCATTCCTCTATCCGCCACCCACACTCTGTCCTGCACCTGCTCTGTTCCTCCCTAGAGGGATCTGGAGGTAGATGGGCGCGTGTGTGTATGTGCACGCACCCGTACTGGGGCTTGAACTCAGAGCCTCAGACTTGGCAGAAAGTGAAGTCTCAGTCCCTGGGGGCCCTGCCTCAGGCGGTGTGGTGGCTGCTATCCTCCAGATTATGGAGCCGAGCCTCCCACCCAGCGCTGCCCCCCACCCCCACGCCCCACACTGACCCAGTGACTGAGTCTTAGGAAAGAGGTGCAGGCGGCCTCGGCCTGCGGGCCGTGGACGGATGGGAGAGGGTGGTGTCTGAGGGGTGCAGGCCATGTGGGGCGAGGTTTCCTGTATCCCCGGCTTGTTTCCAAGTGTGGCTTGTGTCTCTGGACAGCTTGGGGGTGGAGCCTGTGGACAGGGACGCCCTGGGCCAGCCGCCACGCCGCGTCCAGGACACGATCCTGAGCAGGGTCCTGGTCCTGCGGATCCTCATGTCTGCGGCCACCATCCTCAGCGGGACCCTCTTTATCTTCTGGAAGGAGGTGGGCTGCGGGTCACACAGGGTGGGCACAGTGCGGCCCCGCCCGTGCCCCGTGGGCTCTGGGCGGAGGAGAGGGTGGGAAACAGCACAGAGAGGAGCCCCACCACAAATCCTCTCACCCCTGGGCCTCTGGGGCGGCCTGCGGGGTCAGGGAAGCTCCTGGAAGCCGTGCGGCTGGCGGAGGGGGCAGGCCGACCCTCCACCTGCCCCAGGGTGGCGGGAGCGCGTGGAGCAGGACAGGACACGGCTGGGCCCACGCCTGTTTCTCTCGCGCTGCCTCTGCTGGCCTCGCTCCCTTGCACTGCGCCTTGGGCCTAGCAGTGTAGCCCGGCCTTTCGCAGCCTCCTCGGCTGGGTGCCAGCCTTGTGGCAGCCCTCAGGGTGGGGCCCTGGGTGAGAAGTGCAGAGTTCCAGGACCCTGTACAGCGCGCCCCAGGACCTTGGCCTCAGGTGTTCAACTGGCTACAGCTTGGGTCTGAAAACCTCTGCCTGGCACTGGAGCCCTGTGGAACCGGCAGGACCCAAGCAGGCCAGGAAGTGGAGGCAAGAATGGCCCAGAAACTTCCTCCAGGAGACGGCTCCCCTCCAGCCCAGCTTCCCAGCGTGGGCCCCCTCTGAGAGCCAAGGGTTCTGGATGGCTCTGGACTGTTCTGCTCTCTGGGCTTAGGGAGGGGCACTACCCCCTGCAATCCCAGCTCTGTGGCTCCGCCCCTCAGAGCAGGGCAGGGTCCCGTGGCCTCCTGGCCATGATGGCGGGCCGCCACTGTCCTGCAGATTCCTGAGGACAAGGCCAGCACCCCGCGCACCACCACCATGACCTTCACCTGCTTTGTGTTTTTCGATCTCTTCAATGCCCTGAGCTGCCGATCTCAGGTGAGCCAGGCCGTGGTGACTCTCCCCATATCCAGCACCGGGCCGGGGCCTTCCCCCCGTGCGCTTCCTGCTAAAGCCTCGGGGAGGGAGGTGCGGGGCTGGGTGGAGCCGGGGTCCCACCGTTCATCGTCTGACCAGGGGCATCTTCCAGCTCCAAATCCCAACAGCCTCCATTCCACAGCGCCTGCCGGCCTGCCCAGACAGACAGACATGGGGTGGCTCAGAGCAGGGACACACGTCCCCACGGGGCCTGGGGGGGGGGGCTGCCCCACCCGGGGGCGGATGGCGCTCCAGCGACCTCCCACCTCCTTCCGCAGACCAAGTTGATTTTCGAGCTCGGTTTCCTCCGGAACCGCATGTTCCTCTACTCGGTGCTGGGCTCGATCCTGGGGCAGCTGGCGGTGATCTACGTCCCTCCCCTGCAGAAGGTGTTCCAGACGGAAGGCCTGGGCGCGCTGGGTGAGTGGGGGGCTGGAGCCTTCACTGCCGTCAGGGCCTCGCGCTGCCCGCCGGCCGGGGTGGGGGCGCGGCCGCAGCGCAGCGCAGAGCCCCGGCCCTGCGGAGTCTCCCTGGAGTGACACCCGGGGGACAGAACACAGGGGACAGAACAGCAGGAGGCCCTCCCGCGCCAGCAGCCTGGGAGACGGCGCGAGCACCCGGCCTCAGGGCCGCAGGCTCAGCCAAGCTCAAGCAGCACAGGTGGAGCCGGGGCCTGGCGCGGCCCTGGCTAAGGAAGTGACGGACGCTCCCCCGCCCGAGCACAGACGCTGCTGCTGCTGCTGCTGCTGCGTCAGTGGAACCCAGGGTGGGCCAGGCTGCACGAGGCTCGGCTCTCCCCTGGGACCTCCAGACCAGTGTCCCTGCAGCGCACCCTGAGGGGCCCAGCCCCAACTGTGTAGCGGACGCCCCCTGGGGGAGCGGGCGTGCATGGCACCCAGAGCGGGTGGAGCAGGCAGGCGGCCTGGGCTTCTGACACGCCTCTCCCGTTGGCAGATCTGCTGCTGTTAACTGGCCTGGCCTCGTCCGTCTTCATCTTCTCGGAGCTACTCAAGCTTTGCGAGCGGCACTGTACACACGCCACGGCCCTGCCGTGCCAGGGGGCGGCGGGACCCGTCCGCCGGCCACAGCCCTGAGCCCGCTGGATTCGGAGTGCCAGGGGCCCCCTGCTCCGGTCGTGCCCAGCCGCCCAGGAGTTCGGGGCAGGGCGCCGTCAGGGCATGGACTCCACCTGCCGCACTGGGACCCTGGTGTCCGTTCTCAGGAGCCTGCGCCTCGCCCTGGACACGGCGGGAGAAACTGTACATAAGCAGTCGTGTTATTTATTAAATCACAACCGTTTTTATCAGCTCGTCGGTGCACACACTTGTGCCCTAGCGGAGGCCACACAGACTGGCAGGGGATGCGGGCGGGATGGCGACCCCACCTCCACGGCCTGCCTTCACTGTGAAATGCGGTCCGGGGTGCGTCTGCACAACACAGTACCACCCAAGCCGCAACACCCCCCCCCCCACCACGCACTCCCCCATAGAGACACTAAAGCATGATTCACATGAAATCTGATATAAATAACCTACAGACTGAGTCACAACAAATCCGACGTTTAAAAAACCCTACAGCCCCACTAGACAAATCCACACATTAGAATAACGAAGTACCAAGATGGGCCAATGTTTGTGAATTCCTTAACTAACTGCACACGCCCGTCCATAACAAAGCACAGGAGACAGGACCGAAGCTTTAACACTCCCAGCAGAACCTGTGCACCACAGATACACTGTGGAGAAGCAGGAGCCACGAGCACAAAGCCTCATGAGGATGCGGAATATTCTGGAAGGATGTGCTATGCAATCCATCCAGAGAAGGAAGGGCTTCAGTGCTGGGAGCGTAGGGGCGGTGCTGACCGCTAGGTCTGCGAAGGAAATGGCTACGAGAACCACGGGTAGGCTGTGGGCAGCCCTGACCGCCAGGCTCCACAGAACAGGGCCACGGACAGCACCCGTGGAGATTCAGCAGGAGAGGCTCCCGCGTCAGGCGGGGAGAACCCGCCACAGGGTTGTATGCACACTCGGCTGAGACTCGCGGCATAGGAGACTTCAGCAAGGTGTTGGGGACAAAATTGCATGAATTTGGAGAGATTTCTTAGTTCAAACAGCCATTGGCTGGGGGGGGGGGGGGGAGGCCAATTCTGGTTCCAGTAATGACATCAGAAAGTTGCCAGGCAAACCCAGCGCCCGGCCTGGGACGGGGGGTGAACACTAGGCAAAGGCCACCACAATGAATGCGTGGACAAAGGTGTGCACTTCTCGAAGATACCACCCGATTTTCAGAAATGGCCACAGTGCCAGAGAAAAGCAAGCTACTGTAGGCAGGGCAAGTTTTGAAAAACAGTTCCTGCTTTACCTTCCATTCATAAGGCTCCGGGAGTGGCCCTGTGAGAGCTAAGCACACCAATCTGGCTGGGGAGAAGGTAGTGCTTGAAGTCAGGAGAGGGGCAGGGGGAGGGGTCCATCAGGTAAACAAAACAGATTTTAAGGCAGAGGAGCCCTGGACTTGGCAGACACACTCCGCGGGTGGGAAGGAGGCGTGAAGCGGTCGGCCGGCTCTCACCAGCAGCACACCCTTTGATACAGCAGTCATCTGCTCAGACCCAACCACGCCGGACACGGCCCTGTGGGCTACAGAACCTCCAGTCACACAAGGTGCCACGGACCCGGACCCCATGGAGTGTCTGCATGCACGTGGACGGAAGGCAGGAGGGAGCGAGGCCCCGGGACATGGCGGGGTTCCACAGGACAAGAACATGCCAGCTCGCCACCCGGGGTGCGAGCCTCTGAGGGCAGGAAACCCCTTCCCTAGTCCCAGCTGTTTAAATCACACACACGACTCTTAATACAGAACGGGGGGCGGCCGTAGCCCACGTGGCACCTCCACACCCGCTCCCTCCGCTTTGGATAGGCAAACCCTCATTTAGGCCCCCAGGTGTCCCAGCCAGCACTCCATGGTCCGTAACAAGAGCTGCTCCTCCTGTCAGAACCCCAGGGTGGACACTGCTCCCCCCCACCACAGCCCTGCCGCCCAGACGGCCACATCGGGCCCCTGACCCTTCAGCCTGAGGCTGAAGTGGTCGAGGACTAACCTCACGAGGAAAAAAGGAGCACAAGAGTTCAAGGCCCTGAGTTCAAGTTTCAGTCCCCCCCTACCCCAAACAGACCACCAGAAAGGTCGCCTAATACAAAAGCGCTCAGCAGGAAGGCGGGTGGTGACCCAGGCTCCACACCTGCTGGAGGGCGGACAAGCCTTGCTCCCTCCCCAGTCGGCGCTGCTAATGGAACAAGCCACTGTTTGCTATGGCTTTTAATCAAGGCAGGAGACCAAAGACAAAGGCAGGAGGCACGGGTGTTTGAGGCACAGCTCTCTGGGACACCAGGACCTAAAGTGCATGTAGAGGCCTTCGAGCCTTGTCAGAGCCCTGCACAGCTTTTCAGGATCACTGGAGTTGTTTAGGATTACAGGTGACTCCCACGTTTAATCAGGAGGCTGCGGTCTGAGGATCGAGGTCCAAAGCCAGCCTGGGCAGAAAAGTCTATGAGATTCTTATCCCGAGTTAACCAGCAAAGAGCCAGAAGTAGCGCTGTGGCTCGGGTGGTAAAGCACTACTCTTAAGTGAAAAAGCTAAGGGAGAGTGCAAAATGTGGAGTTTAAGCCCCGGGACTGGCAAAACCAAAAACGAAAGCCATCCCAGGGCAGACATCATGGATAGAACAATGGAGGCCGAGACTTGGACCCATGCCAGACATGCTCACCACCGGCCCATGGGATGGCGCTGTGTCCAGCATCGGGCAAGCCAGGCAGGCCAGCACTGGCCAGCCTGCTCTGGGACCCACCTCTCGGTTTCTCCTTCCACCGCACGTCTGCTTTAAGGGCAGAGACAGCTCCATGCGGACCCTACCGTCAACGCCCGCCCAGGGCCCAGCCCTAGGCTGGGCATCTTCCCATTACCAGGCCCTTCCTGGACTTCCACCCCTCAGGTACAGCAGCCGTCATGGAGCAGAGGCGCTAACCGGGACCCCCGGGACCCCCTCGGATGGAAGCCCCTCCCGCACGCTCGCTCCGAGTCTCTGGATCCCATGGAGAGGAAGCGACCCCGCGTGAGACTCAGCTGCTGGCCTGACACGCAAGGGGCACCGTGCTGGGCTCGGCAGGGCCGTGTCCAGGCAGCACCTCCTTCTGGCGACACGAAAAGCTGAACCAACATGGCGGGGGGTCTGATGGCCCGGCGGGGCGGGGGCTCGGGTCCCGGCCGGCCCCAGGCGCCTCCTCAACTGCCAGGGTCGTCACTGCAGTAGTCAGGGGCCTCCAGGAGCCCTTCGCTGTGGCGGGTCCGCCCGCTAGCCTCCAGCAGGATGCGGGCCTCAGGGTCCACGTCCAGGACGCTCTTCTTGACCTAGAAAGAGGGGGAGAAGGAGACGGGGGGGGGGGGAGACAGGGAAAGATGGGGAGAGGGGGAAGAAGGGTGGCTATGTTCACAGCGTGCTTAGGAGGAGGCACTGCTCCCAATGACCAAGACCAAGCCATGACTTCCTGCCAGCTCCCGCTCACCTGCCTGGAGCCAGCACCCATGGCTACCAAGGACTCAGGACAGCCCCGGCGCCTGGCCCCATGCTGGGTTACAAGGCATCATGGGAGCTGCGGGGCCCAGGGGCCCGTCACTGGATGGCAGAAGCAGAGAGCTGCAGGAGCCCCAAGCCTCGCGATCTTGCGGCCCAGCACCCCAGGCGGGGCCCGTCCTCCCGGGAGGCTCCACTAAACCACCCAACCTCGCGGCGTCTAGTCCCTGCTGTGGCCTGAGGACAAGGTAGGCCGGCGGAGGCGCAGAGGGGTCAGCACAATGGAGAGAGGCCCCGGGTACAAGGTCCCTGCCCGGCACTCACCCGCTGGAGCTCTGAGGGCTCTTCCACGGCCCACACCTCCATGGCCTCAAACAGGAAGTCCTCCTTGGCAGAGAGCTGCGGGCTGCCGTACGTGGTGCACGCGGGCCTGGCCTTGCTGTGCCCTTTCCCGAAGTCACTGTCTATCCAAAGCCCGAAGTAGCCATGCTGCCCGCCCATGCCCTGCAGGGGAGACCCCAGTGGACACGGCATCAGCATCGGCTCAGTGAGCGGAGCGTCCAGTACCCTGGGCCGTGATCTCCAGAGAACCATGCGGCAGTGCATGCCTGTAATCCCAGCAGGAGAATTGAGAGGCAGAGGCCAGCCTGGGCTACAGTGTGAGGCCCTCTGTCAAAACAAGCGAGCGCCCGAGCTGGAGGCAGGGACGGGAGGGGATCTTTCTCAGGACCGTGAACGCCACACGGCAGTGGTGGCTGTTTAGATGCCCCGTTCCAAGTGGCTGGCACCTCTGTCCCACAGACGTCCCTCCCCGCAACTCCTCGCAAGGATGGAGCCGCAGGGATGGAAGTGGAAGACACAGACCCTCGGGTCCACCATGAAAGATTGGGGTGGACGCGGTGTCCTCCCACCCTGACAGCCAGGAGACGCAGCAGGGGGCGTGTGGCTGTCCCCGCCGGGAGACAGGAAGTGCTGGGCTCCGAGGGTGGGCTTGAACGCCGTCTGTCCCCCCTCCCCCCGGGTCCACCACGGCTCCAGCCAGCGTGGAGCTGCCGTCTCACCACACCCTCTGACCCACGCACCCGGCTCTCACTTGGGGCAGGGAGCGGCCCGGGCGTGGACCTGTCCCACGGGACCCGCTTCTGCCTGTGATGGGGGACAAAGGTCCCTGGGGGCGGTGGGGGCTGCTCTGGGGGTGGCTAACCCCGGTCTCCCCGCCCGTGATGGCTGCACGGAAAGCCGCCGGGCCTTCTCCAGAGGCCCCGCCACCCTCCCCTCCCTGGGCTGTGTCACGCATGAACCCGGGGGCAGGAAAGGGGCCAAGCTCATGGCGTGCGCACAAGCCACGGAAGAACTGGCAGGCGCGCGGGCCTCCCGGGGGCAGCCGTGCGCTCTATCGGACGGAGCGCGGCCGCAGCCAGCGTCACACACCGCGTACCCCGCAGCCCTCACCAGGCCGGGCACGGACGCGCCCCCGCCCGCCCCGCCACTCACCAGCCCGTTGGGCATGGTCTGCTGTCCGTGGTTCAGGTACATGAAGTGGTCGTTGTAGCCCGTGTGTGTGTACACGGCCATGCGGGGGGCGATGGAGAAGAGGAAGCACTTGCTGTCTCCTGGAAGGGACGGGGCGCAGGGCAGCAATGCCGGGGGCTGCTGTGATGCCCTGCCCAGGTGCGCGGCCCTGGACGGGCATCCCGCGCATCCGCAGGCGGGGCCCCGACGCCACGCGTCTTACAGTGACGGCCCGCCCGGGGTGAGCCGGGGCTGGAGGGAAGGACAAGGGTGAGGAAGGGGCCTGACATCCATGTGGGGTGCGGGAGCCCCCCAGAGGACCCTGCCCACTCTCTGTGGTACCAGCCTGTGGGCCGAGGGCATCTGAGTCAGAAAGACTCAGAAAGAGGGGTCCTCTACCTTACCAGTGGGGGCGGACGGCCACCACAAACACCAGAGGCTCTGGCACAGCCCACGGGGACCCACGCAGGACATGGGGGAGGGCTGCCCCCACCCAAAATGTCACACCACCCAGGAGAGAGAACACCACAGCAGACCTGCCCAGGGGTGGGCATGGGAGAGTCAGGAGGGGGCGGCCGGGAAGGCAGACAAGGCCTGGACTGGTGGAGGGCACCCGGGGACTCCTTGGCCTGTAGCCCAGGCAGATGCAGGGGCCTCTGGCACGGTCCAGGGTCTGCCGTGGGCTTGAATCAGCCCGCTCGGAAGTGAGACGCTCGTCCTGAGACAGCAGTATCTGGGCTACGGTCCTCCGTGGAGGTCAGACCCCACGCAAGGGCAAGGCTGTGCACCAGGGAAGGGGACGGACAGCCTGGAAAGTTCTCCTGGAACCTCACCGCGAAGGGTTTCCACGGACCTCCCCTCACTAGGCCTCGGCAGCCCCAGGAGATCGGTGTGTGGCGACGCTTACTGAGCCCTAGTGCAGGGCCCCAGCCTGCAGCCAGGAGCTGCGGGGACATTACTCTCCAAGACACGTACACACCACCTGCGACTCGGAGTCGCGGGAAGGAAACCCTGGGCACAGGCCAGAGCCGCACCACAGAACCACAAAGGCAAAACACAGCGCCGTCCACCCACCGCGGTTCTCGGGCCAGAAGTCATTGAGAGGACTGGTGGACATGAATCTGGCAGAAGGCAGGGACGGGGCCGTCTGTGGAGCGAGGCTGCCCTCTGCTGGGAAAACCTGGCGGAGGGCGCTCCTGCCTGCGGCAAGGCCGAGCCTTCCCGCCAATACACTAGAGACCCAGCGGAGCAAGCCCACCCAGGGCAGGCGCTGGAGGAAGTGGGTCTTGATCTGGATCTCAGCCTCCCCTCCTGAGTAGCTAGGATGGCAGGTGTGAGTCCCCGGAGCCAGGCTTCTCTGGGCCTAATTCCTAGGGCAGAGGCCGCCTGCCCCAACCCTAGAGGGGGACACGAGGCGGGTACAGACAGCCTCAGAGTGCTGCGTCCAGAAAGGCGGCCTGCAAAGCCACCAGTACCCGGGAGCCTGGATTTGGGGAGGGCTCTCATCATTTGCAGAGCTAGATTAAAAAATCTAGAACATTCTGAAACCTAGAAACAGCCTGATTGAGGGGACAGAGGCATGGACCCCTCACTGTGCTCCTCCCTCGATCCCAGGCACCTGGCCACCACCCCTCAGCAATCTCCAGGACGCAACCCACCCGAGCGTGGGCCCAGCCCACAGAGGGAAGACCAGCGGTTCAGAGATACAGGTGAGCCCGGGCATACAGGGAGACGTGACAGCATGCGGCCGTGTCAGCACATGGGGTAGCTCACTGCAGAGCCGGGACCTGTGTCCCTCAGAGCAACTCGGAGGGAAAGGGCGGAGTCCCCTGGGCCTCTCCTCCAGTGTCACATGGTCACAAGAAAATGTCTATGGGCCACAGCTCACAAAACCAGGAAGAAACAGGAGCGTGCCTGTGCACGTGTGTGCGTGTGTACACGTGTGTGCATGTGTAGGAATGTCCATCTGAAAGGCGTGGCATCTCTTGGTGCCACACACACCCCGCACCCCAGCAACCCTGGCAATGCTCAGCCTGTGTCAGCTGAGCGAGGGGTGCTGACGCCTTCCTGCTGGCTTTCCCCCCCTGCCTGGGCTGGAGGAGGGCCTGTGACATCACAAACCCCCCTCAGCCATCAGCGTGCCCTGCGACTGCCACCCCGAGAGGGGACGGTTCAAACCCTCCCAGCACCCCTGCCTTCTCCATGGCCCAGCACGGCCTGTGCCGGGCTCTGGGGCTCCAAGTGTTACCTTGAAACTGAGGTTTCACCTCCCAGGAGCAGGAGGCGAAGCCGCCAAACACGTGGCCGTCGCGGTCCTGGAGGAGGGCCAGGCAGGGCCCCTGGTGTGTGATGCGCCCGCAGAGCTGCGCGAAGCTCTGCCCGTGCAGCCGCGAGGAGAAGAGCAGGCGCCAGCGCTGCCGCTGCTCCCCGCGCAGCTGCGCGCCGAGGTAGACGGCCGACAGCACGTCCAGGAGGCTCTCCACCTCCCCCCCCGGGCCCACGTGGCGCTCGGGGAGCAGCGGGGCCGGCTGGAGGGACGGGGACAGCAGCAGAAAGCCTCTGTGGATGACCACACTCAGAAACACGCCCACGAGGGGCGCCCGGAACACCCAGTCCTCAATCACGGCTCGGTCGCAATCACAGTCCAGCCACTGGGGCTCCGGAAACTTCTGGCCACCTGGGGAAGGGAGATGACATTATCAGAGCCACCATGTCACCTCGCAATGACTGTCTGCGTCTGCGCTGACTGAGCTAGCAGCCACAGTCACACGTGACTGGGGACGCGAGAGATAGCTCGTCTGAATGTTCTCAGCAAGTTCAGACACGGCGGCATGGGGAAGACAACCACGTCTCCAGACTTGTCTCTCACAGATCAAGGCAGCCAGGCCTCACCCGGGGGCTCAGCCCTGGACCAACACCACCCACCTGAGGGCCAAGAGGAAGGGGCTGAGCCCCACTGGGCCTGGCGGCTCAGGGTCGAGAGGGCCGGGTTTCGTGAAGGACAGCAAGAGCCGTCATGCTGATTTCTATCTCAGACCCGCCCAGCGTGGAGGGGATCTGGTGGGATCTGGTAGGATCTACAGGATCTAGTACAGCCTCCGTCTCCCCGTATGTGACATGGGTGCAGTGCTAGGACCCAATTCATTCGCTGTCACATGGACAAGAAGGGCTTTTGCGTCTAACACTCACTGACACACATAAAACTGACCTCAGACAACCAGGTCTTCCCAGCCCACGCCCCGTCCAGCTACTGGATATGCAGAAACCCTGCTAATTCTACTTCCTGTCATCCCTGATCACTCTACCTTTCAAAAACCTTTTTGGGGGTTTTGTTTTTTGCCAGTACTGGAGCTTGAACTCAGGGCCTAGACGCTGTCCTTAAGCTTTTGTGCTCAAGACTAGTTAGTGCTCTACCACTGGAGCCACAGCTCCACTTCCAGATTTTTGCTGGTTCATTGGAGATAACCAGTTTCAAAGACTTTCCTGCCCAGGCTGGCTTCAAACCACAAACCTCAGCTCTCAGCCTCCTGCATAGCTAGGACTACAGGCGTGAGCCACTGGTGCCCAGTGGCCTCTCATTTCTTATGCCAGTGCGGTACTTGAAACCTTTTGGGTAATTTTAATTAAACAGTTTTCTATTCCAGTGACAACTTCAAGTTTCTGTTTTTACAATTCTCCCATTTTAAAGACACTGACTTGGGGCTTTGCTGATTTCAGAGCTTTGCTCGAAGGCTGCAGGATGGAGAGAGACCATGGCATCAGAGGTGGACCCTGAGTCGGAGGGGGAGGGTGCTTGGGGACTTGCCTTGGAGCTTCAACTCAGAGAGCAGCTGGGCGGCCAGCACCCCCACACCGGCCAGGGGGCCCTGGAATCTCCTCCGGGTCCAGCCCCTCAGCTCCTGCCGGTGGACCAGCACGTGCTCCACAGCGCCAACCAGACCCTCTGTGAACTTGAACACGCCGATTCCACTGTTAAGAGCCGCACCCGCACAGAGCACAGGGCAGGGCGGCTTTCTCCATGCCATCCTGCAGCACCAGCGATGACACAGCCGGTGTGGGCTACCACCCTACCCTGGTGGGCGTTCTAATGCTGGCCTGGAGCTTTGCCAAAGCCATCGTCCAAGAGTTCCGACTCAAGCGGGCCGTGAGCTGGCCCACGGCCCCGCGAGGTTGCCGTCAGCCCCCCGCCCCGCCAAGAACAAGCCTGCCCCAGAGGCCGCTCTACCTTCTGGACTTCTCCAGCTCGCACAGGACCTTCTGTGGCAGTAATCATCTTCAGGATCACGAGGCTCTTCTCCTCCGCGTTTCCCTTCAGCAGGTAAGACATGGCGGCCATGAACTGCTCCCGGGAGACACTCTCACTGGGCCCCCGCGCCTTCCCGGCCAGGTCCACCCTCCGCATGCCGTCAAACAGTCTGGTGACCATCTCTGGGGGCAGAGCTTCGCCAACATAGCTCTGTTGAGGACAAGGAGGAGAAAAGGCCCACCAGGCTGACTTCCACCCAACCAGTCACAGGGTCGGACAGGCAACAGAGGACTGCACCCTGCCACGGCGCTCAGGATGCTCCTGGCACGAGGTGGCCTTCCCTGACCTCCTGACCCTCTTCCACCCGAGGACCCACACACGGGGCACTCGCGGCACGTCTTGGCCCCTCTGGCCTGGCCGCAGCCTGCCCTCCCCACACGGGCCCTGTCCTTCCTGGGGCCGCTGGCGCTGCTCATCACCCTGCTAGCGATGTCACGTCCATTAGCTGCCCAAGGCCTGCCTGCCACAACCACAGCCCGCGCAGAGCGCCGTGGTCTCGCCTCAGAGCTACGAACGCTGAGCTGCTGCGGTCGCTGGAGGTGCACCGCCACCGTCTCTGGGAGGACAGTCAGGCCACACAGGGCTGGGGAGACGCAGGCGGCTCCTGCCTCTCGTGTCAAACCCTGAGGCAGGTTTGAGGAGGTCCCGGTACATCCGGCCAGGCCACGGCCCCTCCACCCTCTTGCCTTCAGTGCCTGCAGCGAGAAGGACCTGGACGAGGCCCCTGTGCTGCCCGTCCCCGGCGACAGCGCGGCGAACAGCCGGTCCAGCTCCGCCTGCTCCTCAGGAAGAAACCGTGAGTGGAGCTTGGGCCCTGACAGGCTTTTGTTGTTCCCCATCTCTCCTGGTCTCTGGCAGAGCGGTCCTGGCTGTGGAAGGCAGGGGTTGGGGACATGCCAGAGAGAAAAGCCAACACCCCGTCACAGAAAGGAAATGTTGGCAGTTATATGGCCAGCACGTATGGATCCGGTGAAAAATGCAGCACCAACACACACTGTATGCAGTCTGTAATGTTTCAGTGTTCCAGAAGCAACAGTGGGAAGGCCCGGTCCTGAAGCCCAGGGTGAAATGAAGTCTGCTCACAACTGCCAGGCAGCCTGGACATCTTTATCTGAAAACGTAGTACCAGCCAGGTGCTGATTCTCACTGTCATCTCGGGAGGCTGAGACCCAGAGGATCATAGTTTGAAACCAGTCTGGCTAGAAAAGTTTCCAAGATTTCATATGCAAAGAACCAAGAAAACACTGGATTAAGAGGTATGGCTCAAGTGATAGGGCACCAGCTATGAGCAGAAAGCTGAGTGAGAGCACCAAGCTCTGAGTTCAAATCCTAGTACTGACCAAAGAGGGGAAAAATTAAAATACTGGGCACCAGTGGCTCACGCCTGTCATCCTGGCTACTCAGGAGGTTGAGATCTGAGGATCGTGGTTCAAAGCCAGCCTCGGCAGGAAAGTTGGTGAGACTCTTATCTCCAATAAACCACCAGAAAACCAGAAGTGGCGCTGTGGCTCAAGTGGTAGAGTGCTCACCTTGAGCTGCAGAGCTGAGGGACAGCGCCCAGGCCCAGAGTTCAAGCCCCACGACTGAAGGGGAAAACAAACAAAAAACTAAGAAAGCATGGTACACAACGTGACTAAAAAGTGGGGGGAGGGGGGCTCCATTTTAATTCATGTAAATTCCCTTACTTTAAAAAACTTGAGTGGAAAATGCTCAAATGCACAGGAATTTGGTAAACTGAGTCAATGTCCCAGTAAACAATCCCCCAGGAAGTCAAACAGTCAAGCGCACATCCCAGCAGCCAAGGGGTCCTGAATACAGGTTTCCCTCAAGGTGTGTCTGCCCGTACCCTCAGGCAAACCACTGGCTGGGTGAGCCACATACCCCGACACTGTGTCCAGTGTGTGATCCGGAGACTTCTATCCCACCCATGCACTTCATTGAACCCCATTTTTCATTATCCGTTCTTCAGGTTCGTCAACCACCACTGACCGCAGGTGCTATCTGAGTTCACTTAGGTCAGGCTAACCAGCCGTGCCCCGGCCGCCCGAACTTGAAGTGTTTCTATCTGCTGAGCCCATCCTGTTCCTGGCTGTGAATTACTGCTTGCCCACAGGGAACTTGGAGTGCAGCCTTGCTCCCCTGTTCCCCCACCCCACCCCCTGCAAAACCCCACCACCCTGCTCCTCGGCCTCTGGTATGGTCCTGAGTGAAGTCTGCCTTAACTCGGCTTAACAGGCCTCAGTGAAAGCTTTCTTTTAATATAAGGTTTGAGTACTGAATAAAGTGACCTGGGCAGTCCATTCTGCTTTCTGGAGGCCAAAGCTAGGTCTGGATGGCCCCAGACAGGCAGAGGCCTGCTTGGGAGAGCCCTTCTCAGACACTCCGGGGGACGCTGGAAATCTGCAGGAGCAGCTTCCTGGGGACGCGGCCCTCCTGGATCCTGCTAGGGTGCTCCAAGGCCTCCCCGGAGCTTCTCAGACTGCATCTCTTCCCCGCTGGCGCTCCACACCCTGTCTGCCTCCAAGGGGCCATCACAGAGCCATGAGCGGCAGCCTCAGGATGCCCTCTCTGGAGACACTCCAACCACCTCACCTGGACACACTGGCTTTTGCCCCAGAGGCCGAGGGGAGGAGCTCCTCCTGCAGGCCCACAAGGCAGCTCCCCTCCATCCTTCCTGCCAGGTCACACTGAGTGCCAGCCCAGGACTGCCATAAACTTAATGAGCTGCTCAGGGCTGGGAACAAATCCAGAGAATTGTGGCGTGCATGTGTACAAGGGGGAAGCCCCCTTCCACACGTACACGACCCTCCAGCCCACACCCAGGGTGCAAATGCACCCCTTCCTCTCCACCAGCTCTCCCTCCCCAGCAGCGACCTTGACGCCGGGGATGGCACCTGCCAGACCACAAATGGCAGAGGGGAGGGGATGGGGATGGGGGGAGCAGCCCAGCAGGGGTGTGGAGGGGAGGGGATGGGGGTCAGCAGGGGAGGGGATGGGGCAGCAGCCCAGCAGGGGTGTGGAGGGGATGGGGGGGGGCAGCAGCCCAGCAGGGGTGTGGAGGGGACGGAGGGGGGGCAGCAGCCCAGCAGGGGTGTGGAGGGGATGGGGGGGCAGCAGTCCAGCAGGGGTGTGGAGGGGACGGGGGGGGGGGGCAGCAGCCCAGCAGGGGTGTGGAGGGGAGGGGATGGGGGGCAGCACAGGGGCGGGGCCCAGATCCACTCCACCGCACGCGGCCCCGGCCGCGGGGGCGGCGCTGACCTCGGACGCCCCGACCTCGGACGCCCCGACCTCGGACGCCCCGACCTCGGACGCCCCGGCCCGGGACGCAGGAGCTTCACCCTTCCAGGGCCGCGGGTGGCTCCATTACATTCCCTGCGACGGCGCTGACGGACGGTCACGTGCTCCAATGGCGGAAGCGGAACATGGGGCGGGGACTGGGAGCGATATTAGCCAATGGGGACGCGCTTGCCGGGGTGGGCGGGGCGGAGTGCGGCGGACCGCGTCGGGGACGCCGGGGAGGCGGGGAGGCGGGGAGGCGGGGAGGCGGGGAGGTGGGGAGGAGGCGGGGCGCCGGAGAGGAGGCGGGGGGAGGCGGGGAGGTGGGGAGGAGGCGGGGCGCCGGGGGGAGGCGGGGGGAGGCGGGGAGGCGGGGGGAGGCGGGGCGCCGGGGGGAGGAGGCGGGAGGCCGGAGAGGAGGCGGGGGTCCGGGGGGAGGAGGCGGGGCGCCGGGGGGGGAGGAGGCGGGGGTCCGGGGGGAGGAGGCGGGGCGCCGGGGGGGAGGCGGGGCGCCGGGGGGGAGGCGGGGCGCCGGGGGAGGAGGCGGGGCGCCGGGGAGGAGGCGGGGCGCCGGGGAGGAGGCGGGGCGCCGGGGGGGAGGCGGGGCGCCGGGGGGGAGGAGGCGGGGCGCCGGGGGGAGGCGGGGCGCCGGGGGGAGGAGGCGGGGCGCGGGGGGGAGGCGGGGCGTCGGGGGGGAGGAGGCGGGGCGCCGGGGGGAGGAGGCGGGGCGCCGGGGGGAGGAGGCGGGGCGCCGGGGGGAGGAGGCGGGGCGCCGGGGGGAGGAGGCGGGGCGCCGGGGGGGGAGGCGGGGCGCCGGTGAGGAGGCGGGGCGCCGGGGAGGAGGCGGGGCGCCGGGGAGGAGGCGGGGCGTCGGGAGGAGGCGGGGCGCCGGGGAGGAGGCGGGGCGCCGGGAGGAGGCGGGGCGTCGGGAGGAGGCGGGGCGCCGGGAGGAGGCGGGGCGCCGGGAGGAGGCGGGGCGCCGGGAGGAGGCGGGGCGCCGGGGAGGAGGCGGGGCGCCGGGGGGAGGAGGCGGGGCGCCGGGGAGGAGGCGGGGCGTCGGGAGGAGGCGGGGCGCCGGGAGGAGGCGGGGCGCCGGGGGGAGGAGGCGGGGCGCGGGGGGGAGGCGGGGCGCCGGGGAGGAGGCGGGGCGCCGGGAGGAGGCGGGGCGCCGGGAGGAGGCGGGGCGCCGGGGGGAGGAGGCGGGGCGCGGGGGGGAGGCGGGGCGCCGGGGGGAGGAGGGCGGGGCGTCGGGAGGAGGCGGGGCGCCGGGAGGAGGCGGGGCGCCGGGAGGAGGCGGGGCGCCGGGAGGAGGCGGGGCGCCGGGGGGAGGAGGGCGGGGCGCCGGGAGGAGGCGGGGCGCCGGGGGGTGGAGGCGGGGCGCCGGGGGGAGGAGGCGGGGCGCCGGGGAGGAGGCGGGGCGCCGGGGGGAGGAGGCGGGGCGCCGGGGAGGAGGCGGGGCGTCGGGAGGAGGCGGGGCGCCGGGAGGAGGCGGGGCGCCGGGGGGAGGAGGCGGGGCGCGGGGGGGAGGCGGGGCGCCGGGGAGGAGGCGGGGCGCCGGGAGGAGGCGGGGCGCCGGGAGGAGGCGGGGCGCCGGGGGGAGGAGGCGGGGCGCCGGGGGGAGGAGGCGGGGCGCCGGGAGGAGGCGGGGCGCCGGGAGGAGGCGGGGCGCCGGGGGGAGGAGGCGGGGCGCCGGGGGGTGGAGGCGGGGCGCCGGGGGGAGGAGGCGGGGCGCCGGGGGGTGGAGGCGGGGCGCCGGGGGGAGGCGGGGCGCCGGGGGGAGGAGGCGGGGCGCCGGGGGGAGGAGGCGGGGCGCCGGGGGGAGGAGGCGGGGCGCCGGGAGGAGGCGGGGCGCCGGGAGGAGGCGGGGCGCCGGGGGGAGGAGGGCGGGGCGCCGGGAGGAGGCGGGGCGCCGGGGGGTGGAGGCGGGGCGCCGGGGGGAGGAGGCGGGGCGCCGGGGGGTGGAGGCGGGGCGCCGGGGGGAGGCGGGGCGCCGGGGGGAGGAGGCGGGGCGCCGGGGGGAGGAGGCGGGGCGCCGGGGGGAGGAGGCGGGGCGCCGGGAGGAGGCGGGGCGCCGGGAGGAGGCGGGGCGCCGGGGGGAGGAGGGCGGGGCGCCGGGAGGAGGCGGGGCGCCGGGGGGTGGAGGCGGGGCGCCGGGGGGAGGAGGCGGGGCGCCGGGGAGGAGGCGGGGCGCCGGGGGGAGGAGGCGGGGCGCCGGGGAGGAGGCGGGGCGTCGGGAGGAGGCGGGGCGCCGGGAGGAGGCGGGGCGCCGGGGGGAGGAGGCGGGGCGCGGGGGGGGAGGCGGGGCGCCGGGGAGGAGGCGGGGCGCCGGGAGGAGGCGGGGCGCCGGGAGGAGGCGGGGCGCCGGGGGGAGGAGGCGGGGCGCCGGGGGGAGGAGGCGGGGCGCCGGGAGGAGGCGGGGCGCCGGGAGGAGGCGGGGCGCCGGGGGGAGGAGGCGGGCGCCGGGGGGTGGAGGCGGGGCGCCGGGGGGAGGAGGCGGGGCGCCGGGGGGGTGGAGGCGGGGTGCCGGGGGGAGGAGGCGGGGCGCCGGGAGGAGGCGGGGCGCCGGGGGGAGGAGGCGGGGCGCGGGGGGGGGAGGCGGGGCGCCGGGGAGGAGGCGGGGGCGCCGGGAGGAGGCGGGGCGCCGGGAGGAGGCGGGGCGCCGGGGGGAGGAGGCGGGGCGCCGGGGGGAGGAGGCGGGGCGCCGGGGAGGAGGCGGGGCGCCGGGGGGAGGGCGGGGCGCCGGGGGGAGGAGGCGGGGCGCCGGGGGGAGGAGGCGGGGCGCCGGGGGGAGGAGGCGGGGCGCCGGGAGGAGGCGGGGCGCCGGGAGGAGGCGGGGCGCCGGGGGGGAGGAGGCGGGGCGCCGGGGGGGTGGAGGCGGGGCGCCGGGGGGAGGAGGCGGGGCGCCGGGGGGAGGAGGCGGGGCGCCGGGGGGAGGCGGGGCGCCGGGGGGAGGGCGGGGCGCCGGGGAGGAGGCGGGGCGCCGGGGGGAGGCGGGGCGCCGGGGGGAGGGCGGGGCGCCGGGGAGGAGGCGGGGCGCCGGGGGGAGGAGGCGGGGCGCGGGGGGGGAGGAGGCGGGGCGCCGGGGGGGAGGAGGCGGGGCGCCGGGGGGAGGAGGCGGGGCGCCGGGGGGAGGAGGCGGGGCCGCCGGGGGGAGGAGGCGGGGCTCCGGGGAGGCAGGGTGCCGGCCCGGGCCGGAGAGGGCGGAAGGGGGAGCCCGGGCTGGGCGGGGGAGGGGGAGCTGGCCACGTGGAAGTGACATGGGGGCCCGGGGGCCGGCTGTCACTGGGCTCCCAGCACCGCTGCGAACTGCATGCAGAGCCCGCGGCCCTCGGTCAGCGCAGCCGGGCTGTGTGAGGGTCTGTGGGTGAGAAGCACCTGGCCTGTGGAAGCGGCCTGGGTTTCCAGCCCGGGCGTGGGGGCCCGTGGAAGCAGGTTCCGGGGCGCAGTGCTTCCTGCTAACCACCGCTGGGCCCCGAGCTGGGAGCTGGGCCCCGGGGCGCGCACTCCTGAGGCTGGCCCCTTCCCGCGTGGCTTTGGGCCCGCCAGACCCACGCCCCAGCCCCTGCACAGCCGGGGTGGGCCGACTCAAACACGCGGTCCCTGCCCCAGGGCCCTGGTCTTTAGGGCGATTCCACCAGGGGCTGTCGATAAACGTAGACAGAAAGGTAAGGGGAAATAGAGGCCGGAAGAAGTTGGAGCTAGCGTAAGCAAGAAATGAGCGTAGAAAAACGGACAGGGATTTCTACACTTGAGGTCAGAGGCCCTGTGAACATTTTCCTTGGTACCTTCCCAAGCCCTGTCAAAACTGGAACCCAGCACTACCTTGGCAACACCTTCCCTAACACTGCCTACGCTCGTCACGGGAAACCAGGATTCAGAGAGGTTAAGTGGCCTTCCCAGGGGCACACAGCAGAACGGCAGCAACTCCCAACTGTGCTGCAGGCTCTTCCCACTGCAGTGCCCCCGAGTTACAAGTGTGAGCAGTCAGCCGTGGACTCTGCAGAGCAGGCCAGGTGAAACCGTGGTCTCAAAGACTCCTTAGGAGTGGGTGCCTCCATCCTGTAGTGCCCTCACACTGGGAGTGGCAGAGAGGCCACCATAAGACAAGAGCTGGGCAGGTAGTGGGGGCATCTTTGCCCCCTTCCTGTCCACCACCACACAGCACACATTCTCCCCCTGCCTCTGTGCCTCCAGGCCGGCCCCGAGCCACCGAGAAGGAACGGCAGCCCCTCACCCCTCCCCGACACCCTTCCCTTGAGTCACAAGATCTTGCCTGCTTTCTCATTCGCCTGCAGGCGGCTCAGCTGCGCTCCTCCCTGCTGCGCCAGCTCCGGTCCCGCACCCGCCCCGGAGCAGGACGAGTCCTTCCTTCCCGGGTTGCCCAGCTCCGGCCCTGCTTTGGCCTCTCACACCGGGGCAGGGCCCCATCTACCGGCTACGCTTGGGCTGCCCTGGTCTCTGCTGTGGTTCGGCTTTGCTGTGTGTGGTCTGAGAACGTTGCTTCCTAGCAAACATCCCTGCCAGGCTTGCCGCTGTGTGCCCCGAGCACGGAGCCCGGTGCCTGGCATTGGGGCGGCCATAAACACCTGTGACAAGCAGGAAAGGCTGCGGGGGCACAGGAGCGGCCCATGGGGGCGGGAAGCACGGGGGGCACAGGGGGCGTCCCACGGGGGGCACAGGGGGCGTCCCACGGGGGCACAGGGGGCGTCCCACGGGGGCACAGGGGGCGTCCCACGGGGGGCACAGGGGGCGTCCCACAGGGGGCACAGGGGGCGTCCCACGGGGAGCACAGGGAGCATCCCACGGGGGCACAGGGGGCATCCCACGGGGAGCACAGGGGGCGTCCCACGGGAGCACAGGGAGCGTCCCACGGGGGCACAGGGGGCATCCCACGGGGGGCACAGGGAGCGTCCCACGGGGGCACAGGGAGCATCCCACGGGGGGCACAGGGGGCGTCCCACGGGGGGCACAGGGGGCATCCCACGGGAGCACAGGGGGCGTCCCACGGGGAGCACAGGGAGCATCCCACGGGGGGCACAGGGAGCATCCCACGGGGAGCACAGGGGGCGTCCCACGGGGGCACAGGGGGCGTCCCAC